AATTTTTGAATTTAAAAATATAGTAATAAATGATTTAATTATATTCTGTAAGTGATTTATTATTAATTAATTGCACCAAAAATATGGGATGGATTATTAATTTTTACCTTGATTTTTGGGATAAAGATAAAAAGTTATTGGACATATTTAATGTTAATTAATTTATATAAATGTAGTGAATGTGCTAATATGCTATAACTAATATTTTTAGGGGCTATTAACTAAATATTGAAACTTTTTTTTCTCAAAATTTTGAGAAATTGTCACCTAGGATTTTATCATGCCACCTTTAGAAATTTTTTTAAAATCTTTTACGATTTTTCTTTGATTTCTCTCTTAGTATAATATATATACTATAGATATTTCTCGTCCAGATAATATTGCCATAAATTTTAGAATATGCATACATAAAAGTAGTGATATCGGGGAAAGAAAAAGTTACACTAATAAAATAATTCATTTGTACTCCAAATACATAATTGGCCTTTAATTACAAAATGATAGCAATTCACATATGGAGTCCTAACTTAACGCGATCTTGTTGATCAGTGAGTATATCTAACCAAAAAGGGACAACTAATGATGCCAAGTTCACATGATAAAATCAACCATTTGCCCTCGTTCCAGCCACAAACAAACTACATAAACAAACCCCTAAACTGCAAGATGCCATCCAAAATAAATAAACAGATTTAAAAAAATTACATGTTTAGTGGCGCATTTTCTTTGCAGTTTGATTCATAACCGCAAACTCCATGGCCGATGGCACTTCAAAATAAAGAGAAAAAAAATCCATGGCCAAGGTAGCACTTTCAACGTAAGGGAGGAAAAAATCATGTAGGTTTTCCATATTCATTCATCACCCACCTCATCTACAACAAAATCACGTCTTTTCACTCCAATTGCATATCAATACTCATCCCCACAACATTAAAAATGAAAATATGTAATTGATCAAAAAACTAAAATTGTTATTATACAATTTAATTCCACGAGAATAATAAAATAATAGCAGCTTCTTTGTTATATTGAAAACGCTATAATCGTCATTTGGTTTGTGATGAGAAAAAAAATAATTTACTAATTTATTGGATAAACCCACTCAATTAAAGAAAAAGAAAAGAAAAAAAAATAGAAGAAGAAGAAAGGAGAATTCGGCATACCATAGGATTAATTAAACAGTAGAGGATCGTGATTATTCTTTACAACGGCTTTCACCTGCATACAATGCAATTCCTTCCCTCCTCGAATTTCTGAAGAGATTCTAAAAAGTCATCCAAAAAGAAAAAGATAATTAGTACACATTAAAAAATATGTTGAAAAAAACAATGCAAAAAGGAAATGGGGTGGAGATGAGTGAAGAAGAGGAAGAAGACTATAGACTCATAAGGTGAACGGAAATTTAAAGTAATTTAAATAGCATAATTTTCTTTTTAATATTGTAATTTGAAAGGTATTGAATCCTAAAATTTTGAAATATTTTTTAAAATCATATATCACATTTAATGTTGTTATGATCATAGTTTGCAAACTCGCGATCCTGGATCGTAGGATCTGATCCTACGATCCCAGCTATCTAAATGGATCCTGGATCGATCAAACTCGAATATTGCAGTAGGATTAGAGTAGGATCGTACGAGATCGTACAAGATCGCTCAGGATCGTAGGATCGGTCCAAATTACTATTCATTAATTACAAAAACTTAAATTGAGCTTATTGAAATTTTTTTTTCTCTTATTTCTTTTGGTTCACATTCAATTGAGGCTAATATGAGAAAACTTTCTTTGCTAAAACACTGTATTTTAGGAAGTTTTTCTAATAATATTAAAAGAAGAGTTTTTATTAAAAAAGTTATGGAAAAATTCATATAAGAAAGATGAATTTTCATATTTCTTTTTTTAAAAAAATGTTAAATACTTTATGTAAAGATCATTGAAACTTAATTATCAAAACAATTAGTTATATAACATGTTTAATTAATTTTATAATTCTACTATTACGATCCTACCAATCCCATTTATGAACCGATCCCATGACCCCATTTTGATCCTACATAGGATCACGATCCTGCAAACATTGGTTATGATACACACTTATCTTTTCCATATATTGTTAATTAGGTCGATCACTAATTTTGATTCACAATTAGTATATTATCTCTAATTATTGAGAAGGAATAAATTCCTCAAATCAAGTATAAATTGATTCCTTATTCCGATAGTTGTTTAAGTGAATGAGGACTATAAATTTTGAACTAATCCGAAAAAGAATCAGGAACGTAGATTCGTTCAAACCACAGTAAAATTCCTATAAATTTTCAAAGTATATCAATTACACAATTTTGGCGATCAGTTATTTAAGATGAAGATAGTTTCCTACGGTAATTGTGATTGTCAATTAGTATTTATCTCTAATCTCTAAATCTCTAATATCTAAATATTTAAAAGGAATAAATTCCTCAAAAAATCAATATGCCGATAGTTGTTCCAATGAATAAGGAATCTAAATTTGGAAACAATTCGAAAAATAATCAAATGCAAGTTTAGTTCAAACTGGTTCAAACATAGCCGAATGTAAAATTGAAAAATTTCAGAAATTATGGAGGCTGGCCGAGGTTCATGGAACGATGGAATTTTGAAGGAGTGCTTAATCATTCTGGCTTCATCGAATTACATCCAGAGTTTAGCAAAATACGGTCAGCCGGCGAAGCAGAATACTGCCAGCCGTTAAAGGATTTGGCCGCAATTAATCGAACTATGGAATTGCGAAGGAGCACATAATCGTCAGCCACGCAAAGGAAAAGGATAATACAGTCAGCCATTGCCGGATTTTCCTGCGCTTAATCGAATAATGGAATTTCGACGACATAAAAATCAAATCGGATTCTTCATCTACATCAAGAGTATCAAATGATATAGTCAGTCATTGATGTCTTTTCCGGCAAGGAAGTGAAAGATTATAGGTAGCAATAATTTTCCGGCGGCGATGATGTCAAATTTCCCATCGGCGTGTCCGGTGATTTTGTGGCCGGCCGGAGATAATTTTCCGGTCATTTTGTGTACGGTGATATCTTTTAATTCGAAGGAAGTTATTTTTTTTTATATAAAATAACTATGTTACCGTGTATAAAATAACCATGTTACTTGTATAAAATACACAATAATAAAAATTAACGAATGAGAAGATGACACGTGTACTCATAAAAATTCTCATCGAATGAAAAAATGACACATGATTTTGAAAATTATCGATGGTCTAATTGAGTGACATGTGTCTTGTGAGAAAAGTTCCTTTAATATATAGTAAGATTAGTTTTGTTCTTACGTAGAACCATCTAAATTCAGAGGATTGCATAATAAGACCCCTTCACTTTTTCGATTTTTCCCAAAAATTATAAATTATACTTCTTTCGTTCCGAAATTTTTGTCCATTTTGGACTTTCATTTCTAGTACAAATTGACTAAAAGTGAAAATCCAAACTGAACAATAATTTTGGGACAAAGGGAGTACCTATTACTTCATTGTTCAGTCAATATAATAATTATTTTACGTATCAAAGAAAACATAAGAAGCTTTAATAGGATAGATGCCGTTGAGGTTTGTTTTTTCTTGAAATTTACAAGAAGATCTTATGTATACTTAATTTTTTTCACTGCATTCAAAAGTTGTGGATTTATTTTCTCAAATTCGGTAAATATTTTCCCTATAATTTCATAAACAACCCTTTAAATTACCAAGTATAATATTTTTTTTAAAAAAAAGTACAAGTATTAATTTATCAATAAAATCAATGCTATGGAAAAATTGTAAATTTAAAATTATAATAAAATAATGTTATTGATTTATCAATAAATTGATAATTTTATAAATTAATAAAATTATGGGCTCCAACAGCACTAATTTAATTAGCTACGAGCACATACATACACGGGTGACACACATTATTATACACAACAAGTGTGACATAGAATCTCGTCTTCATCAAAGGTGAACCCTTTATTATTATTATTAACACTAGTGTCCTGTTTTGATTAGTTGATTGATTTGCTTTCAGGGAATTATAAGTGAAGATTCTGTTGACACTTTCAACTTGCCCTTGTGCTTTCCAACGACTCTGAAATGAAGGAAAATTGTAGCTTCATGTAATAATCACTTTAATTAGCATGAGGAAATTAACTAGTAGTAGAGAAATTCCAATAAGTTCGGAAGGAATCAGGGTTGCTCCCACAATGAGATCCATAGTGGAACCTACCATCTTGGAACATTTCAGTCCCCAGGTATTTGATGAACATCTGTGCTTCATTATTTGGGAAACATTTTTTTCGGTTCTGTAATGAGTTTTGGGCCATATGGCTAGAACCATATATTAGGCATTAACCGATGTTGAACTTCATCTATATATCAAACTGCTTCTGGATTCTAAATCTGCCGCTACTAACATAGGTGTACGTATGGTGAATGTAAGCTGTTGATTATGGACGAAACTATGATGTACTACTTAATTATCAAATGTAAAGCAGTATTATACAAAATGTTATAGACCCGAAAAAGAGAAGAAGCAAAAAAGTCAAACAAGTTGTATTGTCCAGAGTAACACTTATCAATTTCATTAGTGTTAGCAAAGAAAAAATTCCAACCTGTGTTCAAAATCCATGGCCATGAAGATATACAAGAAGCAAATAAATCAATCAATTCATCACATATGAAAAGAAGGACTTCTCATTGATGAATCTTAGCACGGCCAAAAAATAAAAAATCGAGAAATACGATATGGTAATTACTAATTACTAGTTTAGATTAGAAATTAGAATCCGATTCCAAAGTAGAAACAATGATGCCTTTATTAGGAAGTTTACGAAACAATTCAACCCTATTTTGATACGGAAAAGGAAAAAGGAATTGGGTTCTATAAATACAAACCAATAGACCTGATTTTCTACATCTTCGTCTTCATCTCACGGGTTTTCTTTATTTCCTACCTGATTTCTTATTCAAAATTAACGCTTTCATCCATCATCATCAAACTAATGGAGCAGGTGAATGCGTGCAAGATGGTTGACTCCAAGGATACCAGCACTATATCAGGGTTGCTCTTACAGGATCGGAAATCATGCAAGTACGTCCAAGAATTAGTATCTTTGGACAAGAAGAATGTCAAACTTGACATGAATTTTGGGAAATTCGACAACGTGAAGGTCGAAGCATCTTCAAAAGAAGGGATTTTGTTCATTCGTACCGAGAAATTCCCGCTCACGACATACCACGTCGGCAAACCTACTTCGGGACAATGGTGGTCTATACCGAACCCGGATCCGATTCTGTTTCCAACCGAGCAAGTTGGTTTGGTGGTGTTGAATTCCGACCCTCTAACATTCAAGGTTGTCACGCTTTCACCACTATGCGGGGACTATCGGGCCGCGAATTGCTATGGTTATCGATGCAATATCTTTGATTCGAGGACGTGGGCGTGGGAGAGGGCGAGCTACGTAATGTTACCAAAAGGGGTGTTGTTTGTTCGACCGAATGAATCCTTAGTTGTGAATGGATTGATACATTGGCTCACCACCGATGGTCAGGTTGTTGTTTTCGATCACGAAGACGAGACGTATCGTAAGTTTCCTATTCCAGAAGGGGTGAACTGCCTCAAGAGTTCATTGATTGAGTTCGAAGGGAAACTAGGATTAGTAACAATATCAGAGAAAGAAGGGAAGAAGCAACTCTGGGCTGTTTTGGACAATTCAAGGCAGAATCATAATTGGCGTTTAATCAAACAACAAAACCAAGATTGCACAAGTATTGGAATCGCTGATGAGGAATCTAAAGTTATGAAGTTCAGCGGTTTTTGTGCTCAGAATGTTTTCCCATTCAGATCAAATTTAGAGCCAATCCGGCTTGAAGATGGCGCATGATCAGTCTTTCTTAGTCAATTTTCAAGATCTGGACACATGTAATCGGTTTCTTTAATTCGTTATTTTATTTTAGTATAATTAATTAATAATTTTTTTTTTTGGAGCCTACTAATTTTTACTTATTTATTATTATCGAAAGTGGCTGTTGAAAACTACCGCACATAAATGGATGCCATTGCAGCTTACTGTGATATTCACAAGCATGGTGCTTATAACATTTCACGAACATACCATTAATCTTGATGAAAATATGAATTTTAATCATATACCCCCTCCGTCCCATAATTATTATCCAGTTTGAGTTTTCATTTCTAGTTCAAATTGTAATAAAAGTGAAATCTCAAACTGGACAATAATTTTGAGACAAAAGGAATATATAAAATAAAACAATAATTTAGATAACTTGTCGCGTACGAAAAATGAGTTTGAAGTTTACTTCAAATTGTACGTCGACTTTTGGAAAAGTTAAACTCAAAGTACAACTTCACGCGGAAGAACTCAAGCTGAAACGCGCATATCATATGTGAAGGACACATGGTTATCTTATGCTAATCTTCTGTATTCTTGATTACTTTGTACAACCAATGTCCATTGAACATTTTGTTTACCGTCAGCCGGATTGAACCTCCAAGAACAAAGCCGATCATTGAAATCTTGTTCACAGTCAGCTGGATTGAACCTCCTAGAACAAAGCCGATTCATTCATGCCAAACTGCAGAAAACTTAATTCCTTCCGACTAGCTGGAAATGCATTTCCAGAATCATCATGTGACGAAGTATGCATCCAGCAGTTGCATTTAGGTTTTTCTCGTCTAGCTTTTCCGCAGGCACAGAGTTGCCATTGATGACTACACAACCAATTCCAAGGGGCTAATCAATTTTAGTGTATTCAAGCAGCATGTGAGGGGAGCGGTATACTTTCACCAGTGTCCAGTACAGGACTTCCTCGACTTCAAGTTCGCCCTCTGCTCGTGCAGCATAGATATCTTCACATATAGCAATCAATCTGCATCAACAAATTGGGCATATTGAGTTATGGAAAGAAACAAAGTTTTGAAGAAAGCAGAGAGGGCAACTCTATAAAGTCAATCACTAATCAATGTTTCGATCGTTGCACGAAATTGTAATCAACTAAACAATACTCTCTCTATCCCTAAAAAAATAGTCCACATTGAGTTTTGAGATTTGTACTATTTCTCAAAACTCACAGTGGACCATTTTCTTTTCTTTGGGACACAGGGAGTATGAAGAAAGTTGTAATGAAAACGCCAAATTTCTCCGTAGTTAATGATGCTTAAAATTAAAAGCCTATTGAGAGATAACAAAATGGTGTACCTGTCACAATTGGGAAGATTTTCGAAGGGAATTCTCATCCTAAGATCAGAACACTGAAGCCTGATGAAACGGCCAACAGCAAGCACAAATGTTATGTACAGACCCCATATGCTGAATTTGCTGAGCGTATCACCAATTATGCCCTCTACAAATAAATTTATAATCCATTTGAAAGTGAATATAAGGTAGGGAGAATAAAGTGTTCCTCAAATTTTACAACCCAAACTGAAAAATAGAAGGAATGCCAAGCACTTACGAGGAGTTTCTTCAGATACAATAACAGCCACCGGTCCGGCAAAATCTCCACAGTTAATTCTATCTGAGATATCTGTATCATGGAAGGACCACCATTGCGGATCATCCCGGTTGAGTATAAGATCCCCTGAAACATAATTTACCTGCACAAGCAAATATTCCTGATATTATCTCTGTGATTGGGTTGGTTTGACTTCGGGTTTTAGAAGGAATCACAGAAACTGCCACTGACCGCTTGTTCGATAAGCCTGACATCTCCTGAGCCAGTTACCCGGAAGTACCTAGGGTAGACATTGAATATCCTGAAATTGCTAGAAGTACCATTTAGGACATCAATAACTTCTATTGGCTTTGGAAGATCTTTATCTTGAACATGCAGTTCATAATTCACAACCTCTTTTCCTTTTGGCCTATCCCTGATGAATTGCCATTGGAACATTATATTCATGCTGTTGGTAATGGACTGCAGGAACCTAGCTTGAACAATGGGAGGGACATGCCATGAAGAACTAGCATCAGCTTCACAGCATATTAATTGGATGTCTTTCTTACTGTAAGCACTTAAAAAATCTAGAGGATCTACGTCAACTCGAGTACTGAGCTCATTCCAAGAGAGTATTCTGCAAAGAGTTGTTTCGAACAAAGTCAACTTTCCGGTGATTGTCCTGAGATCAATTTGGACACTTGCTTGTTGGATTGGATTTGCAATATTTGTTGGGTTCCCGCTGCTGTACATCTATTGGTAATTAAAAGAAAAAAAGAAGATAGCCGAAAAGAAAACATTTCAGAAGAAGCTTGAAAGGTGAAAATCCCAAAACTGCAGTCAAGGCAAATATGAACTGAGGCGTCAAAGCATTTGTTAGAAAATAAAGGTTTTACAGAATAAGAGAAAAGACAATACTAAAGAATTAATAAATGTGCAAAGGTTCCTTTCAGTCAGTATCTATAACAAAAAGCTTCAATCCTTCATGCAACATTTCCGCAACGAAGAGTTTTTCACTTTCTCTGAAAAGCCTCAACTTTATTATGGTCTCTACTTAGTTCAGTATTCATTACTTTATATCTCCAAAGACCTCCATATGAATAACCCAATAAATATGGTAAAAGTAATAAAGAATACCATATGTTTGATTACAATCTTACCAGCATAGGAGCCCATATAACACAAAGCAAAACTAAGAACAAACATATTCCATTGCAAAATTTGGTCGTTTTGCTTTGCTTTTCTCCCTGTCGATGTTTAGCTTTGTGTAGATCTACATCGCATTTGACCAGGAAGAGGCTTGAATGAATGTCCTCCAACTGTAAAAAGAAGAAAAGAGGCATGTATCTTCAAAATTTACAAAGGAACAGAAAAGTGCAACCCTGACAACCAATGGACATTCATTTCCTGAACCTACAAATTCGTCCACTTCATCACAAAATATGCATGCACATAGAAAAGGGTCACACAACCTTCTGATCTGTCAAATTCAGACTTTTTAACAAATATAATAAACATTTCAACTATTCTTCAAATGATATTAGCTTCATAAGGTATTTTATTTCTTAACAAGTAACGGTAATGACAGTGGACACTCACTAACCCTAAAGGAGTAAAGTCTCCATCGAATGTTGTTTCCAAGTGTTCACTTACCTTTAGCCAGTCATACATGGTCAAAGATGTAGTTGTGCAAGACCAGTCCAGGACACATCGCAGTTCATACAGGAAAGGTAGAGCTCGATAAACACGAAAACACATAAAATTAACTGTAGACACACTACTAGTCAGAAACTGTCGATATAAAGTGCTTTTGTGGGGAAGCCCATGGCGAATTTGTGTAGCTTGCAGTGCTAATGATATTGCCTTCGTCAAGTATATAGCACGAAGTGCAAATTTTCCAGCGTGTTGGTGGGATGGCTGCATGCCCCAACCATATTTTGTTATCGAATATGTGAACAAGCAAAGGCTGAATAGATAGTAGATGACTTTTCCAGTTGCGAATGAACAGAGATAGATGATGCGATCAATCACAATTAAGAAAAAGATTACCTGTAACCAAAAAGAAATATAGATAATAATAACAATATTCAGATGAAAAGTTCCTTAGCACACAAAGAAACGTGATGACAGAGACATCTCTCTTTGTAAATATTCACTCAATTATCTCATTGGCCGGAGCTTTTGAAACCTCAAGGAAAAAAAAATGGAGCTTTACAAAATGTTTTCTCCAAATGAAATAAAGCATAGAAGAGCAAGGGTAGCAGTTTCCACTACCTGTAAATTGCCTCGGATGAAATTCAAAAGGAATAGGGTTCTTATACTGTGGAATAATACAATTTTCATGTTCATAAATTAATCATGCTATAAGCAAGGTCAACTAGAAGTCTTCAACAAATAAAAGAGAGAAGACCCTTACCATGAGGAGAAATACAAACTCCTTAGGGAATTGATCTTCCAGCTGATAGACTTCAAGAAGCTCACTCTTGTTTTTAATCACAGATTGATAGAAGATGGCCACCAAAAAGAAAACAGCTAAATCTGCACAAAAAACGAATGCATACAGATCTATATCCCTTTTACGTCCTCCAATTACAGAGAGTACAGGATAAGGAAATCCTATTTCTTCAAAAAGCCCAATATGCTGCGCTTTTAAAATTTGTTTAGCTACATCAGCTGCAGGAGTTAAGGGCTTGTAAAATTCAATTGGATGAGACCCTGTATGTGGGTAAGCAAATACAACCTCAAAAACAGCCAGAGCGACGGAGGGGTTTTCTGGACTTCTTTCAATGCTTTGTATGCGAACTTTACTTGGCAAACAAGTTCCATTTGGACTACTGTCATCGGATCTTATGTCAGCTATCATGGTAAGTAGCTTGTTAATACTTGACTCAATTCGTTCAGGCTGTATCCCATCATCAGGCCACACCTCTACTGCCATAGACAGCTGCACAAAGTAAGGTGGAGTTTCAGCTCCCTGTGTTACTGATCTCCAGTACCAAAGTAGACTTCTAAATATCTTTTCCACTTTCTCTTTCACGAGTAAAAGCAGTCGGCGAATCTGTTCCAAGTAACTTAGTGTCACCATGGACTCTTTGGAACCTCTCTCTCTTTGCCCAAGAGATCTAAATTCTGTAACAGATGCCCATGTACCCTCCCTAGCACTGATGAAAGTTTGCACAAGGGTAAACAGGTAAACCAAGAAAAGTGGCATGTTGTTTATTACAAATGATGATTTGATTCGATGATCAGGGAATCCCAGTTCCTGAAGGAAACTTGCACTGATAAGGCTAGACCCACAATGCTGGATAATGATTTGGTAAAGATACTGGAGCAGAACGCAGACTTCACTATATATAAGCACAATGGTCCAGAACATGTAACTGGGGCCAGTGTTCACGCATAGAGCATACAAAAATAGTGCAGCGAGGTAAACCATGGAAAGCAAACTGAAGTTCCACAAGAAAATCAGAATGAAGCAAAAATAACAAAGAATCTCATTATTTGATCGCATTTGTGCCCATATATAACGGAATATTAGTCCAATTTGCAGATACGTGGTAGCATCAGATTCAGTTTGCTCACTCTCAGAATGAAAAGAATGTGCTTGTTCCACTGGTTCAAACCCAATATTCTGGTTCTCAAGTTCATAATAAATCTCATTTTCATCCTCATAGGAGCAATCATGTAATTCCAATTCATCCTCTATATCGAAAAAGTGAACAAGATTACTGACTGCCTTCTTACCCAAAGACCGTGCCTGAGAAACACCATCACCTACAAGGTGCACAGCTGAAAACAATAAGTTAACCTTACTTCTTGGCTTTTCTTGGTAATATTCATCAGATTTCGGAGATGCATATGTGAATATTGTGTCTCTTAGCTCAGGAATATCATGGAGAGAATTCACTGAGTGGTGCATGGACTCAAAACCCCGACTGCCACTTCTCATTCTTTTTAGAGGACCCATCGTGTCCAAAGGAAACAAAGAGGAAGAGCAGACATCTACTTCATGCCTTGCCCCATTATGCTCCTCTCCCCCCCTGCTACTGCTAGGGTTGTATTTTATTGTCTCATGTCGGTCTCCACACCCCGAAGAAATACTGCCTAAGCTTGCATCGGTACTCATGCTGCGAAGATGGATTTGTAGATTAAGCATCTCCGATTTAATATTTTCCACTTGCAAGTTACGAAGGCGCTTCTCTTCTTCTGACTTACGAATGTGTTGCAACTGTGCAGTTTTCCAGGCAGCTCTTTTCTGTTGCTCCCTAACTAAGGCATCCATCTGATCTGCTTCTATGTACTTGGAAACAGAATCAAAATCTTGGGAAGAAAAAATATGTGACTGGAGGGATACCAACATGAAGATGATAATTTCCACAAGGGCAGATCTTGATGTAATTCGGAATCCATAATCATACTTGTAGAAGCCTATGACCTCGTGCAAGTAATCAGCAGTTTCACACTTTCCTTCATTAGAATCCCCTACAAATGGAGATTGATACGCAAGAGAAAGAACAATCAAACTGAAATTATATATACGCAGGAACTTGAAGATGTTATTTCTCTCCTTTAGTATCTTAAGCCTCAGCCGGAAAAAAGCCAGAGCAAAACCAAGGTAACCAAGATGAAGAACATCATACTCAAGGGTTCCTGTAATCAGTATTAGAGCAAGAACAAGATCCAACAAATGAAAGTAACTGTAAAGCCTCAGGCGGTCAAGAAATGTCCACATGTTCTTTGTTTCAAATGAGAGATCACTGAAAGCAGCTGCTCTTTTTCTTTGTAATACCGTTTCCCAGTAAGTAAAGCATGCTGAATGGCCGGACATGTGATCAGCTCGGAGTTTGAAACACGAAAGCACGAAAACCATGTAATAGCTAATTAGCATTCTGGGATCATCGACTACAATTCCTACCAAAATTGGATAAAGTATTAGGAAGAGTAGCACAAACGAAAATTACGACATCCAACACTTTGCAAGATTAATAGACTAAGAAGACCACAAAGACTTGGCTATAATCCCAGAGGATTTAGAAAATGATTTTAGTGGCGGGAAACAAAGATTAGTCACTTAACCTAAACGCTAAGATCATCTTTTCTGCATCAGAATTTAAGATAATTAAGAAGAAGGCTCGTGAAAACTGAAAATTACTTGCAGTGAATTAGATAACCTCACTGTAAACATTGTATGCAACGTTCATGTATAAGATTTTGATAACAAAAATCCCTTTGTGAGATTCAGTCTGGATACAAATCCCTTCGTCTGGAAGTTAAGTTTATTCACCCTCAGAATAGAAATGTATCAGACCCACACAAGACATGTTTAAAAAATTTGCTCCGCATTTATAACCATTAGGATTAAGTTGAATATGAAGTACCTATGACTAAAAATCATAAAGGTCAAATAAATATAAGAAATACCTAACCAGCATTTTCGGCAGAAGTCAACAAACACAGAAGAGTTTCTCCAACAGTCATGGCAACGCCCGTACTGGCTGATAGGGAATTGATTATTAGCATCTACTATGCTCATCCATATCATCCAGTACTCAAGGATGAGAACAGAAGCAAAAGCGAGAACAAACAAGGGCCAAAACCTCTGAAGATTTTGCCGAGGCACAAGTATACAAACAGCAAGTGCTGTTACATAGAGCAAAGAAATCGAATTTAAGGTGGCAAAACTAGCAAGAAGTAATGCAATCATGTTGATCTCAAGCCCGAAAAGATTGAATGCATTCTCAATCCAAACTTTCATGTATATTTTTAGGGTTGCTATCTGCATGTCAAGCCTCTCCTTTCTCCAAAGAAGAAGCCACTTTCTGTTCCACTTAAAACTTGAGCTTCCCCAGATATGTCTACTGTACCGGTTCTTCTTGTCCTCTAAAACTTCAGTGCTAACATCAAATGATGGCCAAGAGCTATTCATTGATGCATTTTTCTTTCTAAACAATGGGCTTGTTTCAGCTGTAGGCTCACTCTCTTTGGCATAGATAGACGTTCTACTAGTATCATCCATCAAATTAAACAAACCACAGGGTTCTTCCCATTTTCCACCATGTCCCTTTTCCCTGGGCATATTTTCCAGCCAGAAAAAGACATTATATTGAAGTACACATGCAACAATGACCAGCACTTTCGCTCTCAAACCTGATTCTAGACCAGAAAAGCCAGGCTTAAACAACCGTAAGCCCAAAAGGATAGGTAAGTTAGAGTATGTCTGACCAGGAAGCATCTTAGCTTTTTCACCAAACATCTGGAATAGATAGTTTATCATCAAAAGAAATCCTGAATAACACATGAAACATTTTGAGGGAATGCGGGACGATTTCGGGAATGTCGAACAGAGTACCAGGCCAAGTAGATATACAAAACCAGATGCACTGATAGGCGACATAGATGCATACAATACTGAAAGAGATAATATCTTTTCACAATGCCAAATGAGCAGACGCTTGATAAAGGAAAATGAAATGTATTCCGGTGATTCACCAGCCACTGATTGCAAGTACTTGCTCTGTCTCCTTTCGTAGCTATACAAGACCACCACAATAAGAACAGCCAAAGATTCCCAGATATTTTCTAACATCGAAGCATCAACAGAATACCCAAACACAAGCTGAAGATCAATCAGGCTTGACAACCACCTCTTAAAGCTGACAAAAACATTTAAAACATAAATGAGAATAAACACTGCAATTGCATAAACTTTCAATGGAAACCAGAAGTGCTTTCTTGTCTTCTCCATTAGTTGCCTTGCACTCATCCAAAGTAGGAGAAAGAAAAGGTAACCGAATGATGTGTAATTAGGTCTGACAAGGTAAACTGTGAGAAGAACAGTCAGACACACAATGTAGGTTCCACATGCCCGGTATGCATAGAGAAACTTCTGCCCCATTGCACTCAGATACAAAGCTGTTCTTCTCTCTACAAAAGATAGAAAGGAAATAAGACATCAGCTTGGTCTTTTTTAAATTGAGATGAAGGTAATCAATTTACTGATGTTGCATACACAAAATATCTCCTTTGCATCCACCTTATATGTATATCAGTTCAGAGCGTCTAATGAATCAACAAATTTTGAATCATATAGTTTTGCAATAAAATAAAATACATAGATGACTTACTTGTTTGTTTGCTAGCCAACTATTGGTTTCAAGTGACAATCCATATGATTGAAAAATGTACAACCCAAATTAAATTACAGAAAGTAACTAGTACTACTATCGAGCATGTAAAACACGATTGTTCAAGGGAAAAAATGGATACGTACATGTCTGCATTCTAGTTTATGGAGCACAATGAATAGCCATACATAGAAATAAACATAATTGGTAGTTGCATGAGGCAGCTATAACCATCCATCAAGGCATCAGTAAATGATAAGCGTTTCAAATCCCTGCTTGTCCATATCAGATCATCTCCTAGTTACAAACTCAATTTAGTCATCTCCAAGTGCTCAAAAAGGTATTTATTTCAAGGATCAATAGCCCAAGGACTTTCTGGATAGAGACATCTTATCTGACATAAGGATGAAAGGTTTCCAGCTGATATCACTAAACAAACTATTATGAAGGTAAATCAAAGATGCTGAAACTGCTACTCTGCAGTACTTTTAGGTTCCTGTATATATCATTGACAACCTCAGCTTTTGTTCAAAATTTAAAAAATGCGTAACACAATTGAGTCTCACATATGCAGTCTCGACACACTCTTTTTTCATCCTCTGATGTGAAATATCCTAACCTCTTTCATCATGACCAAAAAAACCAGCGACCAGATATTATATTGAAAGTTTTTTTCTAACTGTAAGCTAAATGTCCATATCACAATCTATATACTGTACGTATAAATTGTAGTGGTGTAGTACCATGCACAGAATTGTCGTACTTGTTTCCACTAGATATCATAGCATAAACAGAAAGTAGCACTCTTTTATTTAAGCCAGCTTTCCAGAGTCTCCAGCCAAAGGGAGGGAACGGAGTGTACTGCACGATAGTGGAAAATGAGCAAAGTATGTCAAATCCATGATTCTGAATAGCGCAGAAAGATGCCAGCCCCCCGATCTTCAAAAAGTCAACCGAGCTATGACTTTCAAGCAAACCTAGAATGGTTCCAAATATGTACAAGGGATGGTTATATCCTCACGATATTTTTTAGTAACTAAAAAAGGCCACAAAAAATTTCCACGCAAGGAAAGAGTTTGATACCTACCAGACCATGAGAATATTTCTGCTGCTACTGAACCTTTATCTTGTAGGAATCTAGAGATTACATTTAGTTGAAGGCTGAAAAGTACAGCAAAGTGTATCTCGCAAAGAAGAATCAAGGATTGGCGAAGCTCCCTGCTTATGGCATGGCTTAAGAGATATATCATAAAGAATACCACTGGCAAAAAGGAAAAAGGGGAAGAATAATTATAGTTAGATCACCATCATATGTATTTCTTTCCTCTAGAGCAAGAAAAGAACTAAAGGATTTCAATTTTCACAAAATTTCAAGAGGGTAAGGATTATGAAGAATTTAGGTGGAAAATTTAACTTCCGGATAAAGAAAGAAACACTAAATTCTACTTAACTTACTATATGCAGCAGGAACAAAGCCAGGTTTCAGCGATATAAAAAGCAGCAGCACTAGCACAATGGCACGAGAGCTTTTGCGAAATCCCCATGCAACAATAGCAATAACATATACTGACTTCTCTTCTTTCTCTGAAAGCAATAATCAATTGTGAAAATCAGAGCAGTCGCATGTCCGAAAGGTTCCAATCAAGAAAAAAAAAAAAAGACACAGTTCATTGAAGATTTTCAGATTTTATATGGGAAAGAGAAGGAAAAGAGAATGTAATAAAAAGTACGAACATGAATTCATCATGACATAGAACTTGGGGAGCATATGATGATGGTGGGATGCAGCGTATTCACATGTCCACCAGAATGGTGAACAGAAATGGATTGAAATTACAATAGCTTCAATCATTACCAAGTAACTGATCCTAACTCCATTCCTATTTGGAGTTGTGTTCTATGGCTCAACATCAACATCAACATCAACATACCCAGTATATTCCAAACGAAGTTGGGTCTGGGGGTTCAGATGTATGCAGCATTTCCCTTGTAATTATACAAAGAGGCTGTTTCCATTGGCGTCATTTGAAGTATTGGTTTCCAGCAACTTCACTAATAGAAGAAGCACTGGAATTTAATAGAACCATTTTGATTTGGTCCATTATTAGCACAAAGATAAAAGAATTGTCAATGATGACTCTTCCAGCTCCATTTTCAATGGACATAAATTGTGTTCTATGCCTAAAACTCTAAAGTACTGTCTAATAGACGAAGTGTTATTTGAACAACATAAAGCATGTAATAGAACAAGAAGGTCATGTTGTGGCCAATAATTCCTCACCATTCAAAATCTACATGACTAGATGGCAAAATGCCCCAGCATGTGAATCCATATTTAAAATTCTAGTCCATATTTCTCTTCATTTGCAATGAAGCGTACATTTTTCGATGTTAGTTTGGCCCCAAAAAGAAATTAATCAGCACCTAGCATTCTAGACGGCAGTTTTTCCCTTTCAGATTCCTGAAGTCACTGATGGCAAACATATAATCATTGTAAGGGACTAAAATAAACAATCGTAGTGTACAAAACACAATCCTCCCTCCGTCCCAAAATAGGAGTCCTGTTTATTGAACTGCCACAGTATTGCCTCTTAATTTACGATGGAGGAAGTAAAACACAATTAGCTGTATAATATTATAAAATTGAAATGCAAGGTACCAATTTCAACTGGACAAGCATTTTACCTACCATAAGAAGAAAGATTACGGTATTTGGGTTGGCCATCCCCGTCAACCAAGTATGAGAACACCATGCCATTCACAACATTTCCGATGGCTAGTAGGATTGCTGGGAAAAATTGCGCAAGTAGAAATAATCCAGGTTGGCTATAGTTCCACAAGCCAAGAGCTTCCCACATTGCCATGTCCTGAAAATTTATGGTTTTCTTACTCTTACCAAACATAAAAATGAACCAAAATCCAGATTGGATGAGAACTTTACCTTTTCCAGCTTCTTATTGAGCAGAGAGAATATGATGTTGAAGACATATGTACAAGTAGCCCAGAATAGAATAAACACAAGAAGTAGGCCATTTAAATGATGCAAGTGAAAGATTGATGGGATGGAATACACAACATAACCAACGTAAGCCAGTATTGGAAATGAACACAGGCTAGCAAACTGGAAGCTCCAAAAAGAATAAGCAAACAAACAGACCTGCCATGTCAAAAATATTGAAAGAATAATTACTAAACATGTCAAATTCACATTGAACAATTTTACCAAGATTAAACATCATCACAAAGATAGCAACTTCACTATTCGTCCAATTATAAAATTAAGATAAGTAGCAGTGAAAAGGTGATGTACAAATGCTTGTTTTTAGATGGTCCATATCACCTAACAGCATATTTTACCAAAGAATTGACGCAGCATTTAGTTACCTTACGATGACATAATACAAAGTAATTCAACCTCAGAAGACTGGGAAATTGTAGTGTAACATTAACAAACAAAAATCAAAACCTTTCCAAGCTCCAATAGAAATTACCGATGTGAGAAATACAATATTTTAAATGAAAATTTATCAAACCTGAGACGTGAACCATAGCTGACTTTAGAGATTTCAAAAACATATTCGACATGGTCTGGCTAATGCTGAACTAATACAATCAAGATTCCTGCTTAGCTCAACCAGAATAGTTTCATTTTGCAAACTCAAGTATATTTCATTAATTATAAGCTTATATTTAATACTTTATATAAGAGAAGGACAGGTGATCATGCAGACTTCATCAAAATATTCCAGAATAGAAGGAAATTAATTTACTCAGGGCTCAAGGTGAGGTAAGGATACCTGTTTTCAACCAAAACGTAATTTAAACGCATAAACATGTCAAGTGGGACGAAGAAGCATGTTAGTGATACAATCACTCAAGTTATTTTATATGTTGTCGAAAAATTTTAGAAGGACAAAGGGAACCGAAATATTTTCACTCAATACATCTGCTTACTGGGAAACCATAAGTGAAAAAGTTGATAGTAAATTTCCACAATAATGCTTCACTCTCCACAATATTGGCGTGCATGGCACTAGATCTGAAAATGACAAAAGATCCGGGTCAGAATTCAGAAATGAAGAAACATCTGATACTTGGATTCTGACAATAATGAGTTAAACTTATGTAACTTTCTTTTCTTTTTTTTCTTTTTTTTTTTTTCGATCTCCACATTTATAGACATGTAACTTAAGATGTAATTTCAGGAATGTTGATGCAACCAACAGTGCAGTATACATTGAATTTGCAAAAGCTCCATACAGCAAAGATTGCAGGTCAGGCAACTTATATCATTTTAAGCTACAGAGACTAAACCATCACATACAGCATATATCAATCTACTAAACTAGAAATTTGTGCTATCCCTACATGCCAAGGGATATGCTCCCTGATGTGATAAAAGATCTCTTCTCACACACACACACACAAACACAGTCGCACACACAAAGGATATGCTCCTTGATCGGATCAAAGATCTCTTCATCATATATTTCTCAGTTAGGAGTCAAAACCAAAAGCATTTGAACCAAGTCACAGCTTCAATAGTTCAGTGCTACTTTCACATTTGTACAAGCTAAAAGAAAAACAGAAAAACACATAACATCAGCTTTTCGAAAAGAACTACAGCAGCCAAATACAAGTATAGAATGAACAAAGATAACCTTAGAAAAATATGAAATCAGGAACATAATCGTTAATTATGAAACACTTGGAAAGAATTTCAGCACTGGTCCAAATTTTATACTTTAACTCTCAAAAAATAAATAAATAAATAAAACATCTTATGAAGATTTCATTCTTCCCTAATAACCAGGTCCTTCAATGTTTCAGGGGGCACATGCAACTTAGAAGCTCAGAAAAACAACTTAGAAGTTATAGTATGATGGATATTACTTGCTGTTTCCGATATAAGTGAAATAAGGATTAAAGAGCACCAAAATCAACTGTTAAATGTACCTTAAATGATAAGTGACAAAAGAATTTGTTTTAGGAAGAAGCTGCTCAATCAAGCCAGTTTGCCTTACTGAAACAATCTCACTTGTTTCCATCAGATCACATCTGACTCTAGATAGCTGAAGCAACAGGAGAAAGTACAATAAGTCAACATGTAAATAGTTGAGAATAAATACTGAGAAATTAACATGACCAAGTTCTGAAAGAGATAATTCTGATCAAAGAATCCTTCTGCTGAATACACATTATAACACAGCTAAAACCGCAGATGAAAAAAATCTAAGCATATTACTAGTAAACCAAATGGACTTCACAATGGCAACTGCACATAAGAATGAAACCAGCCAAAAATGCAAAATGTGGATAGCTCACCATGAAGTAGAAAAGTAGAAGGGAAACACCAGAACATAATTCTGGCCAGTCTGATTTTGCAGAGAACTTGTAGAGTCCAACAAGATCGGCAGATTGCTGAAATGTGGCAGAGAACTCAATGGGTAGCTGGTACACATACAAGAAAATGATGTTGAAGCCGGCATAAACTAAAAGAAATCTCCAGCACCTTCATGGATATCCATGCCAACAATTAGTGGATGGACTGAAACATGCCCAACTGGAACACAACAATGAAAACTAAACTTTGCTAGGGATCTATCTCACCAGAAAAGCCCAAGAAAGTTGCTTTTAATGGACCACCTTGCTAGTCCAATGCAGCTACAAAAGAAATATGGTAGAGAAACCCATGATGGGTGGCTAATTCCATGCACCAGTTGTACGATAGGCAGTAAGAAGTAACATAAGATCCTGAAGTGGACGGCATCTTTCATCCAGAAAAAGAAATAAGTATAAAATAATCATAATTACGCAAGTGGCAAATGAAAAAATATGGTCCAAGAATACAGAAATGCATAGAAAGGAAACCAATAAACCCCAACTACATGGATTTCTAATTAATTACAATCGACAGTTATTGAAGTTCTTAGCCAGATTGAGGTTTAGAAAGACAGTACAAAGTAAAACTTGGTTGTTTAGTCCAAAGTTAAAACATTGATTTGAGGCAGTTTACTGACCTTTGCTTCCAGGAGGCAAATCCGAATCCTGTGAATAGAATTCTCCTGAAATATCAGGGGAGTACTTGTTCCTATGTAATTCGGTCATAGCAACCATAGCTATTAATGCATGAATGAGGAGGAAGTACACTCCAGCAGAACTCTCAGGCTTATCACTGCAGAAAGAGTCACAAGACATTGAGCAAACAAATCAATGGCTAAAGACCTACTTTGTTAAGTTGTCTGTTATATGAGAAAGAAATCATATAGGTATTAAAGAAAGGAGAAGAAGAAGAACAGTAATGCGGACCTGATAAAACCAAATAACTTAGCCCACGGAGCATCTGGTACAACCCAACCACCTTTGATGGCCATTGTGATATGGAAGAAAGCATTTAAGAGAATAACTCCTCCAGATAGCATAATGATATTCCATTGAACTACATGCTTCCAGCGATATGAGCCTATTTCGCATATCAGCAGCCATAATGACCCTCGATAATCTTACTTATTAAACTAAAAATCCATGCACGTTCTAGTGATTTTTCAATGTAATCCAATATATTCTAATCACATGAAATGATTATTGTCTTAACCATAATCTGATCCATGTGAATGAAAGTATGATCGAATTGCAAACCAGTGACAGTTCCTCCCACGTAGAAATGAATTACTAATTCAGGCTCATGGATACAAAAGCAAAAGGAGAGCTACCAAAAAAAAAGAAAAGAAAAAAAAAAAGGAAGAAACATATTTTTTTTTGTCTCTTTTCCTTTGTAAAGGTAAAAAGAAGGCATTCTTGTCAACAGAAAATGGGAGGTTAATAGTTTTAGATCAGAGAACCAAAAACGTTTTTCAACTGCACTTCCCAGATTCAACAATATCATATGTCTCTTTTGCGGACCACTAACTGCAAGCATCTATCTTGAAAGCCTAATTCGATTTAATTTTACAGATTCAAAAGTGCTAGTTCCTGAAACAAATGGCAGCCAATGGGAAACAAGAATATGGTATGGGCAACTAACCTTGCAGACAGGCTAATAGGACTAGCGACGTGAGCAAATCAACAAGTGATACTATACTCCAGTTCAATGTAGAAGCTGCAGAATGAAACAACCATAAAATGTAAGCCAAGTGAATCATGCTGCCCTTCAAAATAACAGATTCCTTCTTTCAGCCATCAACAAGTCCAAAAATAATCTCTCTTCTTTTTTCAATTTTCTTTTTATTCAAAAGAGAAGTTATCCCACAACCTAGTTCAACTCAAAAGCCTTTGAAGTACTCAAAACTAAATTAACGACAAATCATTTGTTAGCATCATTGCTCATGCAACTAATTTCAGAACACAAACATACACTTCTAATCAAGAGGGCAAATAAAGGAATAAAAGAAATAGCCAAATTCTCCGATCATTATGCCATGTTTTCAATCTACTTGGTAAAAATGCAGTCCACCCTTTCCCTTACAGCTCTAGGTTTCTGGCATCCAATCAAAAAATAACTTTAATAACAAGCCACAATTTGCTTGTCCATTGTAAAGTATAATTCTAGGTACATATATTTAGAAACCTTTAACTTGTAACGGTTGTATGAACTTAATTTTGTCATCTTTTTTTTTTATCAGTTTACCACAACAACAATATAAAATTGCCGTATGAATAGAAGTAAAAAAAGAACACAACTTTTGGAGGTTAAACATGCAGTACCTGCAAAAAGCAGCAGTGGTAATACAATCCCACTGAGGAAGCTTCCCATTGCAACCTTTCTTAGAGAAATTCATTCAACAAGATTCCATTTTTATGTTCAAAACTCGCCGATTGCTTAATAAATAAACTACCAACCCCGGAAAATTTTTCCCATGAAAGTCATGCTTAAGCGCATGCATTGCCTCTGTTTTGCTCTGTATTGCACAAAGCATAAATCATCACAAATTTCTTAAAAGGGTTTTGAAAATCAAGGTAAGAAATGAAAAGGGCAATAAGCAAAATTGAGGAAATAGGCTTCGAGTCCCCCCAGAAAGAAAATAGAAAGAATGTTCTACAGCGTCTTTAAGGAATTTCTTCTCCAGCCTTTCCAATAATACGAAAGAAAATTTTCAAAATTCATGCATGATTCGGAAAGTAGAGGAGAAAACAGAGTGGTAATAGGTAACCATGATGACGAACTAGAATCGAAATTGAAGCCCCCGTAAGGCCGTAAGCCAACGCTTATGTGATTCAGAGAGACACGAAGAAGCTCTGTTCTGCCGTTCGATGGAATGTTAAAATAATCTTTGGCCCATCTTTTATTTTTTGTCTATTTAACCAAATGAGAGTTATTTCAAGCGCACTATAAAATCAATCATAACATCGTTGGCACCAAAATCAATTTAATCAATCTAGAAAAAGATTTTCTTTTCCTCTAAAAATTTATAATAAAAAATACTTTTTTATTCTAAAAATGAGTCTTCTAATAAATTACCAAAAACACATATACAGAGGATGGAAGGTAATTTCATAGCAAGGGAGTTTGGTTGCATCCAGCTATAATTCCTCCTTTGATTATTATTATTATTATTATTATTATTATTATTATTATTATTATTATTTTGTTACAAAGGCATAACCAAACATATACTAAACACATTTCGGGATGTGTTACCTTATTAACATTATCAATCACGATTTGACTTCAATAGTAAATCTACCAGACATTTTGCCACTGATGAGAGTGAAAAATTAACTCAGAGTAGGATTTCAAAATGGACTTTGATGGCAGAGGTGAATGGGAAATACACTGTGAAATCTTGTTATACATGGCTCAGTGAACAGAAAATAAAAGAATCAGTGGTTATTTGGAGTAAGTATAACATGCCCAAACATAGTATGAACAGACAAAACGGTGGCAAAATGGATGTTACATAGACCCTTTCCAGTGTGTTTTATGTCAAGAACATGAAGAAAGTTTGGACCATCTTTTCTTTCAATGCAAATCTCATGTAAGTTGTTATAGAAAGCGCATGATTGATGGCACACATATGCAGAAGAATTCCTGATAAGTTGGAGTTTGTGAAGTCGAGACTGAATCAAATATGGAAGCAAAGTAAATGTAAGCAAAAAGTGTTGTTTGGCGTGTTAGCAGCAACTCTGTATCATGTCTGGTTGGTTGTAGTCTGATTGATTAATGGAATTTACCTTTCATTCTATATATATATATATATCCAGCACCATTATCGCCAAAGAATCATTAAATTCGAACTTAGTCACTCCACTAATTCTGTTTTGTTCAAATTTTTTCAAAGTTAGCCTTTTTAAACACTTAACAAATATATTCATAATACTGTATATGTTAAAACAGAGAAGGCAATAGCTGCTAGAGCGAACTCCAAATTCGAGAGAAGGATGTGCTTATCTAGGCCTAACACAAACTCCAAACAGTTAATTTTGGATGGTGAATGCCAATTATCAAATTTACTGCCTACTTAAGGTTCATAAACATTATTTTAAAGATATATTATGTGATATACTATATTACTATTACTTCTAAATAAATTATGTTCTAGTATTATGAACGAAATGATTCGTTTTACACTCATTATAGTCTTTATTATTATGTACTCTCCTCCAAGGTATAAAATGTGCCGTATAAGGAACCATTAGTAGCAGATTAGGCAGAATTGTGCGACAAATTTACGCGGCGGTGCCACCAAAAAAAACATCAATTTTGTCAATCTCTGTTGTTATCCACCCCAGACGAACACGACGAATCTTGGTCAAATTCGAAAATTCCCCAACGAACCTTTCCGCCCAATCTCCATTGAAATGTCAAAGTCAAACGCATCCCAGATGAACACGAAATATCCCGACCCCTCCAAAACCCAGATGCAACAACCCACATTCCCATTCTTTTGTGTTCGTATATAAACCCCCTTCCCCAACATCTGTATTCATTCAGAATCTTGCAGTGATTTATTTATTCTTTTATTTCAAGAATAGAAATGTTTAAGAGTAATAATGCCAAATTGAATTCCGACGATTGTCAGCAGCCGCAGCAGCAGAATCATAATCATCATCAGCAACATCACCATCACAAAGTGTTGCCGAAGCGGATAATTTTAGTCCGTCATGGCGAAAGCCAGGGGAACAAGGACGACTCGGCTTATTCCATGACCCCAGATCACAAAATCCCACTTACCAACATCGGAATTCAGCAAGCCCAGAAGGCTGGTTTTGGCATTAGGCAAGTGGTTTCCGATCAGGGTTCTTCCAAGAATTGGAGGGTTTATTTCTATGTGTCCCCTTACGAGCGCACGCGCTCCACGCTCCGGGAGATCGGCCGGGCGTTTTCTAGGCGCCGGATTATTGGGGTTCGGGAGGAGTGCCGGGTTAGGGAGCAAGATTTTGGGAATTTTCAAGTCGCTGAGAGGATGAAGGTTATTAAGGAGACTAGGGAGAAGTTTGGGAGGTTCTTTTATCGCTTTCCTGAAGGGGAATCTGCTTCTGATGTTTATGACAGAGTTTCCAGTAAGTTCTTCAACCAAGTTCGGCTATATGGTTTACTTATTGTTGCTGTTATTGATTCTGTCTTGTTGACATTGTTCTTTTGGTATTTGAAATGATGCATCAAGTTTCTAATATCTAGTCGGAAGGAAGTGGTACGTTGTTTCATTACTTTGATGTTTGTTTTGCCCTGTGGCCTTTGGTTTCCTAAGATGGATGAACTCTGTTACCATCTTTGCTTGTGATTTGCAAATTCTAGAGCCCCTCCCTACTGAAACATCTTGACTGACTAAGCATCCTTTAAAAAATATAATGCAGCTTTTTGTGCCGTGTGGAACTTTATCTGGGGATCACTCTCACTCATGCAGTAGTTTGTCTGAGGATCTTTCTCGTTGACCTTTTATGCTACTTAAGGATGATAATTAGCCTTCTTGACCAGTGATGTCAAGTTTCTCGTTCTTGGTCATTGTCCTAACTTAACCTGCTAATTTGATTTTTCCGACCACTTACCTGATAATTTTAAAAGGTCGCCGCTTTCAGAGTTCTGGTATCTAAAGCTATTGATCATTGCAGGTTGCTGAACCTTGTCTGTGCACAAATGTATAAGTTTTTCTGGGATCTTTTGGTACCATTTCCTTAGTACATGATCATTGCATCCCAGATGTTTCACTCAGCAAAACTTTTACCATGTTTTTGGATTGGAAAACTTTTTGACCCATTTAACTGCATACTTTGAAGCAGAACTAGTTTTGTATCTGGTACAAAAGTTACCATCCTGATGTTTTCAAGCAATTTTTTTCATGCGTTGTCTCAATTTACAGCAGTTTTATCATTATGTCGTTTCTTTCAGTATATTCCTGGTCATAACTTACAGATCTTATCATGTGTAACTTCAACTGTTGGCTTCTCCACCACTCCTATTTAGATTTACAAAGCTTTAGCTTGATGTCTATAAGAGGCTGCTGCTGCTACTCCGGTCCGCCACCCGGGATCATGTGGCAACAGCTTATACTACTATGCAAGGCTCCCCTTTGACTGAATGATGACTTGTTGATTGAAAATGTTGCAGTTCGTTTCCTTTTTAAGTTTTATGCAAACTGGGAAGGTTTTAATTGCTGATATTGGTCCTCCCTGAGAATGATATAAAAATTAGAGTGAATCTTTGATAGTAATTCTCTTAGACTCCTCCTGTATGTGACATTGCTACAGGCTGATCTCTGCCTTCTCTATTCTCATTTTGTATTTTTTGACTATCATCTTAGGATAGACGTATGCCTATCATAGTAGCTTATGTTTTTGTCTCCTTCATTTGGTCCTTAATCTTTCTTCTTCTCCTCCTCTGATTGTCCTTTCCCTTAATGTGGTGTGTTAAACTTAGATCCATGTTAAAACTCATTATTGTGTCTTTATGATGTGTTAGTGTCAGTCTATTACATTGGGTCATAATTCTATCCACTTGCGGGAGCAGGGAGCATGCTTGCATTTTTTATGATTTTCTCTTTTCAGTTTGTTGACAATTACGAGGTGACTATTAGGAAAGGTCCTTTTACTATTTCTTTGACTGTGGTTTCCAAACATGTGTATTGTTTCTATTTGATATAAAAGGAATCCTCAAAATATAAGGTGCATATTTTTACTAGTATGAAGGAAAGGAAATTTCTTCATACTGATACTTCCAAGTGATTGATTTTCAGGTTTCCTTGAATCTTTGTGGAGAGACATAGACATGAACAGACTTCAACAGGGCCCTACTGACGAGCTAAACCTTGTAATTATATCCCATGGACTAGCCATTCGTGTATTTCTCATGAAATGGTTCAAGTGGACTGTCGAACAATTTGAATATCTAAACAATCTGGGGAACTGCGAGTTTCGAGTTATGCAGTTAGGTTATGGTGGAGATTATAGCTTGGCACTAAATCATAGTGATGAAGAGATGCTAGCTTGGGGGTTATCGCCAGAAATGATCTCAGACCAGAAATGGAGAGCTCGTTCTACCAGAGGGGAATGGAATGAGAAGTGTCCGTGGTACCTTGATAGTTTCTTTGATAAGTTTGCTGACACAGAAGATAGTGCTGAAGAAAGTGACAAGGAATAACGATTTAGGTTTTAATATAGCCGCAACTCAAAAGGCTGTAGATTTCCATATCATTTGTACATTTTCTGTAAGTTTGTAACTTCTTTTCTGCACTTTAATGTATTTCTGGTGAGCTAATATAATTATTTATTCTTTCAATCAATTTCTTAATCATGTTGTTGTACCTAATCAATTTTCTGAGATATGGGAATCTTGATTAGGTGTTTAGAAACATGAAGTACAATGGTGTTTTAGCATGTTATGTGTAATCTAGATTTGGGAGGTAGAAGCCAGATTTAGTCAGGCTGGATGAACTGTGAAAAGTTAGCATTGGTAAGGTTGCTTATTTGACTTCATACACCTTGTATACTACTCTCCACGAAAATGATATTTTCGTTTGGTTTGCCGTCTTGAAATTCAATATATACTCCATTTTTCGTTTTAAGTCCAGTTCCTATCTTTTTGCTAGTTGTTTGGATTTGCCATCTTCTTCGTGAAGAAAGTGTTTTTGTTTTGAGTTTTCGCGAAGGTATCAGAAGCTTAAATATAAATTTATTTACGTTTGATGCATTTTGACTGGGGAATCGGAAGCGCAGGGGAGATCGAGCAGGACACCCAGTACATGGATATGGCTGTTCTGTTCATGGCGTCAACAACACATGGATTGGAGGTTGGAATACAATAACTGCAGGATAAGCTGGTTTTGATAAACTTGATGATTAGACTCTATCCCCGTGTATCATGAGATTGCTGAAAATGTTGCCAAGCCAATATAGAACCTGATGCTTACCCTGTCAAAGAAGTCTAAAAATGGATACATGCTGATCATACAATGTAATTTATAAAGTTAACTATAACTTTGGGCTACCTTCTCCGGTCAGAAGAACCATCTATAAAGTCAACCACATCAACAAGCTCTAATATGTGCGTGAGCCATTGCCACAAAAGCTCAAAGGGCACAAAATTAAATTTAGAATTTTATAGTCAGCACCTGTTTCTGAGTTTCATTTTCAACTACATTCAGGACATGGGAGGGTTCTTCAAGTTTGGCAGAAAAGATGCTGATCATCATGTGCATTACTCGCATAAGCCGTTGCTGCCAAGGTGAATCATCCTGGTTCGTCAAACACGGATGAAGAAGTCCTTGACACTATACCAGACCACAAAATCCCGTTAACATCACAGGGGATTGAGCAAGCCAGACAGGCTGGCCCCAAGATCCTGGATGTGGTATCTGAGCATGGAAGTTCAGAGAAGTGGACTGTTTACTTCTATGTGTCTCCCTACAAGGTCAACTTTGAGGGAGATTGGCCAGTCTTTTCCAAGGAATCGAGTTTCCGGGGTGAGAGAGGAATCCAGGATCAGAGAACAAGATCATGGAAATTTTCGGGATGAAGAGCATATGAAGGAGCTCAAGAAGATCAGAGATAGGTATGGAAGGTTCTTTTATCGTTTTCCTGAAGGAGAATCCGGAGCTGATGTTTATGATCGAGTTTCAAGTAAGTTTGATTACTAAACTCTATGTCCTAATCCTGATATTCGATCTACTTTTCATGCTCACAAGCCAAATGGATTCGAGAACAGAGTAATTTATATTCTTTTCTTTTTTTCAGGTTTTTTTGAGTCATTGTGGAGGGATATTGACATGAGTAGACTTTCTGTTGATCCTTCTGCTGATCTGAACATAGTAATCGTGTCTCATGGAATAGCGATTCGGGTTTTTCTTATGAGGTGGTTCAAGTGGAGTGCTGAGCAATACGAATCTCTCAAAAGCCTAAAAAACGCCGAGTCCAGAGTTCTGGAGTTGGGACAGAGTGGAGAGTACAGTTTGGCTATTCAACATGATGATCAAACCATGAAGGCATGGGGACTGTCTGATGAAATGATTGAGGATCAAAAGCAGAGAGCCACTGCTAAACCTGGTGAATATGTTTGGAAGGAAAAGAGTCCATGGTACCTTAACACTTTCTTTGGTTCATCTGATAATGAATCTCATCTGGCAGATGGTGGAAAGAAGTGACTCCTAAAACATTTTCATATTATTTCCTGCACTTTATAGTTGCCACTTACCACCTGTGTCCTATTAGTAAAAGGATGCCGTTTCATTACAGTACAATCAGCCAATGTCATTTCTGTCGCAGGACACGGTTGACTCTTAAAAGTCAGGATAAAGCATCTCTTTCCCCTGCTGAGTGAACTTTATTTCCTTCTTTTCCAGTTTTTTTTTTTAAAGTACCTAAATGTGATTCTTTTTGAGAAATGTAACACCGTGCTCAAGGTATATTTTCAATGATTTGAAGCAATTGCAATGAATTAGTGCTATTTCCCCAAAAGAGGAAGCAAATTTCCTAAAGTCTTGGAACAAGGGGAAGATCTCTCACTGATTATGGTTTAGCATTGTGCACAAGTAGTACAATTTTCTCTGGTACTGTTAGCTTATGGTCCATTAATTGTCACTTGATTGAAACCAAAACAGCAACTTCTTTACAATGAAAATTAAGTATAGTCAAAATTATCCATAAACTCATGAGATTTATATCCAAAAAAAATAGTCAACTTTTTGTTAGGAGGAACTAATATAATTCAAATTCATATCAATCGCTGTTTGGGACGGAAAGAGTATATAAAGAATTACACAAGTTAAATGTTAATCATTGCTTGAGCCATAAACGCCTTCACAACCTTCACTATTCATGCGAGAGACAAAAAGTAGCGGCAAAGATTATTCAAGATTCATACTTTCGTCGTCCAAAATTATTATCGAGTTTGAATTTTTATTTTTATTAGTACAATTTGAACTAAAATTGAAATTCTAAACCAAACAATAATTTCAGGACGGAAGTACTACACAGAGCAGCAAAAAAGCAAAAAGTTTTCAGGAAACATTCATCGAAATATCTACACAAAGTTGGACAAATCTGGCAGAACTTCGGTGCCTTATCAAAATTGGGTAATCAGAAATTCGGTGCATCTTCAAAGACTCCCCACATTTCTTCAATGCATCATTTGCCAGAAGCGCATCGTAGCTTCCAAATGTCGGATCGTCTTTCACGTCTACGGGCACAAGCTCCAGCTGTCCAATCCCCCGTTCATAAGCATTAGCGCAATCTTCGAGGGCCGGTTTCAACGCCGCCGGCGGCGATATGGACTTCCGGCGAACAGTTGAGAGATAATACTCTCGGGTTTTGTTGAGCTTTCCGATGACCAAATCAACTGAAATCAGAAGAAGGGCTACGTTATCTTTGGCAGATGCACTTCTTAGATCCGATTTCAGGACTCTCTTGCAAAAATCTTGGCTAATAGTAACTCTTTGCATTTTTTGATGGTTGCAAAACTCATTGACAACCTTGTACGGTTCTTGTTTCTCTCTTCTTCCTCGTAATGGAGCATCCTTGGCTGCCAATGCCGTCGTCGCCGGCGACTTCAGAATGAAGAGCGCCACCAGCGTGAGAAGAAGAAGAGACAGAGCCGAATTGTTCGCCATTTTTGCTGGGTTTTTTTTTTTTTTTTGTTTTGTTTTGTGTTTCTCTTTTGTTCGTTTTACCATATAAACTCATTATGAAGGTTTTAGAAAGAACTCCCCTATTTATAGTAATGGTGTAATATGTGTGATCAGTAAACTTTTTTAATCAAAAAACAAGCTTAATTAGCTAAACCAGTATTGGAGATTGAGAGCACAATAGCACATCGCGTGACAGTGGTAGTTAAAAAATGATTTGAATTTATTTATGTACGAATTAATTTTACATTAGAATAAGGCAATGGTGACATTCGCAAGAGTAATGATGCCAATATCGACTAGATCATTGATTAGAGCAAAGCTTTAATTGAGGTTGGACTATGAGCTGATTAACACGTAATTCTGTCTAGGTAAGATTGGTTTCCGCAGCATCGAAGTCGTAAACATTGGATTTGCTTCACATATGTCGAGAAATTGTTTTAGAGATCTTAAGCATTTTTATATATAAATATATAAAATACACATGTACTACCTCACAAACTGGCATTACTCTAAGCAGTCGGCCATAAAAATTGCGCCTTCCGAGTAGCCCCATTGACTCACTGGAAGTAATTCTGCTATAAAATTTCAAATTCTAGAAGTCAAGTTTTTTTTTATATTACAGTAAACCTCTATAAATTAATAGCCTCCATTAAATAAGACTCCATCCGGTCCTTATTATAAGGCATTTTGACTTTTCTTAGGTTCCAGTACACATTGACAAAAAAAACCTTAAAATTATGTTACTCCCTCCGTCCCATAATTATTGTCCAGTTTTATTAAAATGAAAGATTTTATTTTTGGTCAAACTTAACTATATTTTACCTTAAACAACCGGATATACCCCTACATAAGTAATTGTTTAACCGCTAAGATTTTATGGATAATGTTTTTTACTAAGGACAAATGTGTAACTTGATCCATAAAAAGTTAAATTGGACAATAATTTTGGGACAAAATTTTTTAGGCAAAGTGGACAATAATTATGGGACGGAGGGAGTATTACATTTGTTGTGTTCTCTTGATTGCTAGAAAATATTTTTAAGGTTTTTTTGTTATTAAAAAATGAGTACTAGGTGAAATCTAGGGCAAATCAAAATGCCTTACATTAACGACCGGAGGGAGTAATTTTTTTCTTGTTTTAACTCACGATCAGTACAAAAAAAAACCCGAATAACTAATAAAATAATAATTTTTCATGAATCTCTTATGTAAATATAGGTCTTCATATATATATATATATATATATATATTTGATGCTTCCAAACAGAGCCTTCAAGGATTACAACAACTTCTCAATCACATACAATAACCTCTATAAATTAATACACTTAAGACCAGAATAATTTATTAATTTATAGAATTATTAATTTATCAATAAATTAATATTAACTAATTTATTAATAAATTATTAATTTTTAGAGTTTTCTCAACCTCATTATGACACAAATTATCAAATGTTTATTATTTTCACAGGAAAAAAAAAGCCCGGTTGCAACCCTAATTATTATCATAAATTTTCTAATTGAACAAAAAGATAACAATCGCAAATATAAAAAATAATTAAGTTAAAATATAAATTACCAGAATAATTTATTAATTTATAGAATTATTAATTTATCAATAAATTAATATTAACTAATTTATTAATAAATTATTAATTTTTAGAGTTTTCTCAACCTCATTATGACACAAATTATCAAATGTTTATTATTTTCACAGGAAAAAAAAAGCCCGGTTGCAACCCTAATTATTATCATAAATTTTCTAATTGAACAAAAAGATAACAATCGCAAATATAAAAAATAATTAAGTTAAAATATGAATTAATCTTTAAATCTAATTTTTTTATTTTAGATATTTATTAATTTAAAAAAATACTCCCACCATCACAGAAAAATAGTAACAGTGCAGTTTTGGAACTTATACTAATTTTGTAAGTACAAATTTAAAATTTTAGTATGAACTATTCTTTTTCGGGTGGAAGGAGTATTAACCAAGCACCAATTTCTTCTCTCTGTCTAGAATTACACGAAAAATTTTTACGTTAAAGAACTACAATTAATGAAATTTAAAACGAATCAAAATGTTTTATAATAAGAATTTGGGAAGTATGTTACAACCTTTGCAATGGTCTTTTGTTTTTCCCCCTTTTAGTACAACTTACCTTTGCATGTGTTAAAATAATATACTCCTCATGTTCACATTGAGTTTTTAGATTGTACTAAAAATAATATAAATTTTAAAACTAATTGTAAATTATTTTTTTTGAGACAGAGGGAATAATTATTAATGATTGATGACTCTTTTGACTCCATTAGCAATAGTCAGATCGTATGACATCAAAGAAGGAAATTACTTTTGTCCCTTTGAATTTTAAAGGAATTATTATTTTTTCATTCATCTTGCAAAAAAAAAATAATAATAATTAGGGACAACATGAGAAGGCATGCAAAGTTCACAAAAATTGTTGCTTACATTATCACCCTGAATATGAATCGAGAAAAGTATGCTCCTGATAAAAACAAATAATAATAATAATAATAATAATAATAATAATAATAATAAATTGGCAATCTCTCCTTTCTGGGGAAAAAAAAGATAGCTACCATTATGAGATTGCACTTTTGTTTATTAAATTAAAGTTAAAAAAGCAGTACATTTTAATAACCTTGATTATGGGACAAAGTTGCTAGTAACTAATAAGATACCGATGTAACAATGATACAACTTTTTTTTCCCCCTAAAATAAAAAGCCCCAAATGTTGATCCGCGTTCCCAAATGCTTGCTAATAATCGAGTAATCTGAGCTCAACAAGAGTCTCCCAGCGTGTAAACACGGTGAGGAAATAGCTGCCTTATAATAAACAAATTAATCTTTTGTTTGTTTGTATATTCTTGTGCTTCAAAGATATGCATTTCCGTGTTGTCCGATTTGTTTGCATCTCATGACTTTACCTTTGTTTCCTTGATTAATGAAATTAGGTCGCTTTGGCAAAGATGCTTTATCCAAAACAATATGAAATTAAAAGTAAATAAAAGGAAAATCACTACGTACTTTACTTTACCCTTAAAAACATTATTAATTAATTAGCATGTGCAAAACTTAATTAAATAACCCTCTCATGGGGTCGAAATAATTTACGTAAGACTCAATTCAACGGGTCATGGACTAAGGAAGGACAACTTTTTATTTTATTTTATTGTTATTATTATTATTTTTTTTATTTTTTATTTTTTGCATTAACAACATACCCCCTCCGGTTCTTAATATAAGGTATTTTGATTTTATTCTAGGTTTCACTTAATACGCATTTTTAATTGACGAAAAAATCTTAAAAATATATTTTCACATTCATTGTATTCTTTTTATTGTTATAAAATATTTTTAAAGTTTTTTAGTCAATTAAAAATACGTACCAAGTTAAATCTAGTATAAATCAAAATACTTAAAAGGACCGGAGGGAGTATAAAGCAAAATTAAAAGTGATTCTGAAATATTTTAACCAAACTAAAGCAAACAAAAAGAAACGCACGTGCCTTAATTAAGAACACGTCTAATCTTACTGGTTACTACAACTCTCCTTCCTACATTCACCTATCACAAACAACTATAAAATCAGCAGCAATACAGCAACACAATTTATCAACAATCTCTCAAGTCTCTCAAAATCAAACGTAAGGAAATATACTCTAAACACGACGTGAAAGACATTGATATATCAGTCATTAACTACTTCCATATCTAGGATCATGGGAGAGTTCATCAACAACAATCACAAAAACAACATCAATGGTAATGGTCATGTTGCAGTGCTTCACCACTCGAACAGGCATCTGCCGAGGCGAATAATCCTCGTACGACATGGCGAAAGCGCGGCCAACTCCGACGAAAATGTCTACGACACCACACCGGACCATAAAATCCCGTTAACATCGGCCGGGATTGATCAGGCCAGAAAAGCCGGTTCCAAGGTCCTGGATTTGGTTTCTGAGCATGGAGATTCACATAACTGGAATGTTTACTTTTATGTGTCTCCTTATGAGCGGGCCAGGTCTACTTTACGGGAGATTGGCCGGGTGGTCCCGAGAAATCGGGTTTCAGGAGTCCGTGAAGAATGTCGGATCCGGGAACAAGATTTTGGTAACTTCCAGGATCAATCAAAGATGCAGGGGATCAAGCTGACTAGAAACAAATATGGAAGGTTCTTTTATCGATTCCCTGAGGGAGAATCGGGAGCTGATGTTTATGATCGAGTTTCAAGTAAGTTATTTTATTTATTATTGCAATGGCGAGACTCAAATATCTTATATATTTCAGTTATACTTTACTAAAAAATTATTGCTTCTGTTCCAAAATGATTATGCAGTTTAAATTTTCACATTTAGTATATTTTAAATTAAAAATAAAAATCTATACTGGATAATCATTTAAGGACGGAAGGAGTATAATTTTACTAACTATTTAGATCATGAGTAGTAACTGAAATATCACATTTGTAACTGAGAGTGATACGGATCAATAAATAACTGTAAGAAAGACCGAAATCTATCAACTTGAGGTTTTAGGTTGAGCTCTATATGAATTTAAACTGTTTGATCCTATCTTCCGGGGTCAGAATTTTTGACACTAACCTTTAAACTTCTCTTGTTGCTTAAACTAAATGTTGAGTATTTCTTATTGTGGTATATATAACGTAATTTGATTTAATTGAGTAATCTTAATTTCTAGGTTTTATGGAATCGTTATGGAGGGACATAGACATGAGGAGGTGTTCCCATGACCCATCTGAAGAGTTGAATATTGTGATCGTGTCCCATGGATTGGCGATTCGGGTTTTCCTTATGAGGTGGTTCAAATGGACTGCTGAGCAATTTGAGTCTCTGAAGAACCCGAAGAACTGTGAGATCAGAGTTATGGAGTTGGGATCATCAAGCGGGGAATATAGTTTGGCTATCCACCATGATGAGCAAACCATGAAAGCATGGGGACTTTCTGATGAAATGATTGAGGATCAAAAGCAAAGGAAGAATGGTAAACATGGAGAATATGTTTGGAAGGTGAAGACTCCATGGTATCATAACACTTTCTTTGCCTCAGATGATTCTTTTGATCATGAATCTGGTGAAAAAATTAACAAGTCCAAGAACATCTGTTCCGTTGCTTAACGCGCCAGATGTGTCCTATTAGTAAAAGGACCAAGTTGCATCTTTTCCTTATAAATACATGTGAGTTAATTGCAATATGGGATTGGACTATGAAAGAAACACCAAAGCTATTGTGAAATTGGGTGTATTAGGCTTTTCAGTTTTTAAATCCCCCAAAAGTTGTAATATGTTGGATGCTATTTGTATCTTTGTGAAATTTTCAATGAGTATGTATATGATTTCTATAAAGTTGGTGGTTTCATATTTCAAATTGTGTATTGATATGTATTATTATATATGTAATGATTAATGACTTAGAAAGCAACTTTGGAATTTATACAAATTAAAATACTATAAAGGTCGAACTATATTTTACACCCCGAGTTATGGCTCAAACTTCCATAAACCCCCTGGTTTTGATAATACTACAATCTATATTCTTTTAAAAAAAATTATATGGTTTAAAAATTTTCAAAAAAGATATCACAAAATAAGTTCAAAGTGCTCAGTATTGATTATATATATATATATATCATAAATATATATATCATAAAAAATAAGTTCAAGATATCATAAAATTTTTATTAAAATTAACTGTATCATGTCTTTCGAAATAAAATAGAACTTTTTTTAAGCATAATAAAATTATATTATTGATCGTGAATTAACATTCATTTATTAATTTATGTTAAATCAAATGTGAAAAATGACAAATTAAGTCATTTTTATTTTTAAATGGTCACCACATAAAAACAAATCGAAGAATCAAAAAACAAAACTAAGTGTAGGTAAACCATAATTATTTTAGTCATTTCAATGTTTAACCATACTCATGTGGTATATGGTATGCGACCAAAATTCAGAAGTTGGGAGGTAAAATGTAACTCGCCGAAAAAAAATAGAAAAAAAGGTGAAGATTACGCAGTTTCTTTGGAAACTAATTAGAACGGTGCATGTATATATACAAAGCTAGTATTCAAATTTAAAAATGCTTGTTATCTAACCAAAAGGCATATATATATATATATAGAATATCGACCAACTTATGATATCAAATATACTGAACTGAAAAGGACATGTTTCTCATCTATTATGCTAACAGAGTTTACAAATCGTTTATTATGTCTAATATCAATAAGGCTTATGGTCGTTCTATATATGCCAGTTTATGGGGCAAAAACAATTGCATTTCATCCAGAAAGTTAAGGATCGCGATCGCCTAATTATTAGCTAATGATCAATTTTGAAATTTCACATGATATGTATGCACAAGGGAGGGACACATTGTTATTATGAAACCTTCTAAATATGTATATCGACATAATATTCATCATAGATCAAAATGAATTTTAACGACCATTCATTTCCTCGTCATAATTATTCTTTCAATCATGTTATTAATGATGTTGTTGCTGCTAATCGAAATGATGAGATATGAGATCTAAATTAGGTGTTTTAGAAACATAAGATTAGCATGAAGTGTATGTTTAGCGGGGATACTCCTTCCGGTCCTAATTATAAGTCATAAACTTGAACTAAATGAGTCAAATTAAATTTGTGGCTCATAATTAGAACCAGAGGAAAGTAATATTCTTTAATCTATATTTGGAAGTCAGGCTAGATGAACTAGTAAAAGTTCAATATGCTATCTTCTCGGCAAGAGGTTTTTTTTTTTTTTAATTTTGATTTTAGCGTAAGAAAATTTAAAAAGTTATATTAGAAATGTAAAAAGGTTAATGGAACCTGAAGAGTGGAGGAAATTAGCTGAGGGAGGACACCCTGGACATGGATATGGTTGTTCTTGGGTCAGGTACTCAACAGCACATGGAAATGGAGGTTGGAATAAAATAGACTGTATAATGAGTTAGTTTTCATTGACTTAATGACAGGACTCCAGCGCCGTGTATCATGACATTGACATGCTTGATTTCCCTGTCAAGCAATTTTAAGAAATTGATACACGCTGATCATACTATAATTTAAAAAATTAACTATGCTTTTGGTTTACCTTCCGCCGATCAGAACAACCATCTATAAAGTCAACAACATTAACAAGCTATGATTGCCACAAAAGCTCAAAGGGCACAAAATTAAATTTTAGTAGAATTTTATAGCTAGCACTTGTTTCTGAGTTTCATTTTCAACTACATTCAGGACATGGCAGGGTTCTTCAACTTTGGCAGAAAAGATGCTGATCATCATGTGCATTACTTGCATAACAAGCCCCGGCTGCCAAGGCGAATAATCCTGGTTCGTCATGGAGAAAGTGAAGCAAACCTGGATGAAGACGCCCTGGAGACTATACCAGACTACAAAATCCAGTTAACATCACAGGGGATTGAGCAAGCCCGACAGGCCGGTCCCAAGATCCTGGATGTGGTTTCTGATCATGGAAGTACAAAGAATTGGACTGTCTACTTCTACGTGTCTCCCTACAAGCGCACCCGGTCTACTTTACGGGAGATTGGCCAGTCTTTTCTGAAGAATCGGGTTTCCGGGGTGCGCGAGGAACCCAGGATCAGGGAACAAGACCTAGGGAATTTCCGGGATGAGGAGCATACCAAGGAGCTGAAGAAGATAAGAGATAGGTATGGCAGGTTCTTCTACAGATTCCCGGAAGGCGAATCCGGAGCTGATGTTTACGATCGAGTTTCAAGTAAGTTTTGACCTCTGAATTCTTTCACAAGTTTTTAATACTCTTTATATCTCAAAATTAATGTCCAGTTTGGATTCTCAATTTTAGTACTCCCTCCGTCCCATAATTATTATCCAGTTTGAGTTTTCATTTTTAGTTCAAATTGTACTAAAAGTGAAATCTCAAACTGGACAATAATTTTGGGACGGAGGGAGTACAATTTGTACTAAAATCAAAATCTTATACTGGACAATATAATTTCAGGACGAAGGAAGTACAGTAGATACATTTTTCATGGTAATTTAAACATTGTTCTTTTTTTTTCCAGGTTTTCTTGAATCATTGTGGAGGGACATTGAGATGGGGAGGTTTTCTCATGATTCCAGTGATGAGTTGAATATTGTGATTGTGTCTCATGGAAATGCAATCCGGGTTTTTCTTATGAGGTGGTTCAAGTGGAGTGCTGAGCAATATGAGTCTTTGAAAAACCTTAAAAACACCGAATTTAGGGTTCTGGAGTTGGGACCGAGTGGAGAATATAGTTTGGCTATTCAACATGATGATGAGACCATGAAGGGATGGGGACTCTCAGATGAAATGATTGAGGATCAAAAGCAAAGAGCCACTGCTAAACCTGGTGAATATGTTTGGAAGGAAAAAAGTCCATGGTACCTTAACACTTTCTTTGGTTCATCTGATTCTGAACCCTGAATCTTGTCTACAAGATGGTGAAACAAGCGAGTCGTCCTATAACTTTCGATGTATTTAACAATCGCGTGATGTTCGTTAAAAGATGTATTTCCTATTGAGTGCATTGTATTCCTCCTTCCATTTGTTTTCTTTCTCGACTTTGAGATATAGGGTACTATTTGAGAAAAAAAAAACCCCAAAATACTGATGAAAAAGTACTTTATGTATCTCAAATAGAATTTTTTGTGTATCTGAAAAACTTGTTTTTTTTTTTTTTCATATCAAGAATTTCGTGGGTCATGTATCAATTAGTGCTATGGAGTTGTAATTAATGCTTGTTGTCAAGAGGAAGCTATTTCCTTTAGTCATGGAAAAAACGGGAAGACCTCATGTTTTTCTCCGGGTGTATAAGTGTTTGGATTGAAAAATCCTTCAAATCTCGGGAAGATGACAACAAATTTGGGTATGGTACGTTAGTCTTAGGATTAAGGAAGCAAATGAAGAATAAAATAGAAAAGCATGGTTACTTACATTTAAATATTTGACGGAAGCAAATGAAGAATAAAAAATGAAGCCTTTGATTATCCGATTCGATTCTATTAATATTACTTTTTCCCTTTCGAGAAAATTATCTGTTTAATTTAACAAAATGATTTTTTTTTTTTTTGAATTGATAGGATAGTAGAGTACATGTCTCATTAGTACAGGTATGTAAAAAAAATAAAAAAACTTTTATTACCTCCGTTTACTTTTATTTGTCCCTTTAAGGTTTGTACAATTATTAAGAAAACAATGATTGTAACTTTAATTTTTTGAGTGTATTGTTTTTCTTGCCCCTAATTAAAGCATTGAAATTTTACAAACATTTGAAATCGAGGTGCATACAATTCAGTTTGGGGAATTAGTCACTGTTGCCGACGGTGGATATCCTACAAATATGTCAAAAAAAAAATCGAGGTGTAAAGAATAAGTAATTGTAATTAATATATGTTATTAAAAGTAGAGAAATAAAGATGAAATTGAAAAAAAAATTGCATTTAATGCTTCATATGAAGTGCGATCGGTAAAAAAAATTGAATTCACCATAAAATGACAGATAAAAATAAACGAAGGTAGTAACTTTTTCAAGTTAAAAAGTATGAAACCAAAACAAATTTTAAGTTTTAAGTTAACACTATGCTGAATGGAGACGGTCATTGTTATCGTTTAACTGAGATACAATAATTATATCTCACTTCAATCACCGGACACAGCAGCCTAATCCATTTCCAGCCACATGTTCCAACTCGAGATGGCAAAGTTCATTAACTTCAAGTCGAACATTAAACATCTTCCAAAGCGAATAATCCTAATACGCCATGGCCAGAGCTCAGCCAATCTGGATAGAAATGTGTATGCCAATACACCCGACCATAAAATCCCGTTGACTCCACACGGGATTGATCAAGCCAGAGAAGCTGGCAGAAAACTCCTGGATTTGGCTAATAATATTTCTGACCATGGAAATCCACCAAACTGCAGCTCGAATGCTTACTTTTACGTGTCTCCTTACGAGCGGGCAAAGTCAACTTTACGGGAGATTATCCGGGCATTTCCGAGACATCGAGTTGTCGGAGTTAGGGAAGAATGCAGACTCAGGGAAAAGGATTATGGGTGTTTCCAACATAAATCAGAAAGCGTGGACCCAATGGCGGGTTGGGATAAAATTGAGGAGGATTGTGAAAAGTATGGAAGGTTCTTTTACAGATTCCCAAATGGAGAATCCGGTGCTGATGTTTATAATAGCGTTTCAAGTAAGTTTTCACTCATTATACAAACCTTAATTTCCAACTTTCTTCGCTGGTGAAACAAGGAATGCCAATCAAGTCGTGTTTTATATTATAGGAGTATGTTAACTTTTGTATTCAGTTAATTAACTCACTTCTAGATGTTGTAATTTCATTATCTTGAAAGATTAATAAAAAAAAATACTCCCTCTGTCCCAAAATTAATGTCTAGTTTGAGATTTCACTTTTAGTACAATTGGAATTAAAAATGAAAACTCAAACTGGACAATAATTATGGGACGGAGGGAGTAGCTAATATCAGTAATACTAATCGTCAAATGAATTTGTCATTAGGGTACAAATTAAAAATTGTACTCTAGTCGTCCCAGAAAAATAGTCCATTACATTTAAGGGAAACAGGAAAGGATCGTTAATATGTGTGTCTTAAATCTCAGGTTTTGTGGAAACCTTATGGAGGGACATAGACATGAAAAGACTTTATAATGACCCCTCCTCGGTTGAGTTGAATGTTGTGATTGTGTCCCATGAAGAAACAATCCTAATTTTCCTAATGAGGTGGTTCCACTGGAGCACGGAACAATTTGAGTCTCTAAAGGGCCCGAAGAACTGCGAGATAAGAGTTCTGGAGTTGGGATCAAGTGGAGAATACAGTTTGGCTGTGCAACACGATGATGAAACCATGAAAGAATGGGGACTGTCTGATGAAATGATTGAAGATCAAAACCAAAGAGCCATTGCTAAACCTAGAGAATATGTCTCGAATGAAAAGAATCCGCGGTACCTCAACTCTTTCTTTGATTCAATCGATACTGATGATGGATCTCATCAACAAGATGCTGATCAAAACAATTAAGCCTTTTAAGTTATAACTAAGGTGGCAAAAAATAGAGCACTATTTTTCTCCGTACAAATTTGCAGCACGCATGTCACTCTAGGCAATAATGACTAATTCTTGTGATACTTTTGTTATAGCTCATCTCGAATGTTTAGCTTCTTCATCTGGAATATTCAAGAATAGACCGATTTGACTATTTTTTTGAGATTATTTTTAAAAAAACAAAAACCTTACTTTTCGTCTCATAATACTAATATTTCAATTTTCACCCTTAAGTTTCAAAACTGAGCTTTTACAATGAGATATATACCATCCAAAGATGTGATTAAGGTGATGACTGATGATTGAATGCAACACTCTTAAGCAGTCTGATTCAACCTTTCAAAATTGAAAATACTGATTTTTCCCACTTTCCTTGATCATTTTCAACCCAGACTAGTGGAAACTATTGGAAGAGATTAAGGAAAACATACCCAAGCGTTATCATGGGCAAAGATTTAGTAGCTAAACACATTCATATCCACCGTAAAGAAAGAACCACAAAATATTTTGGAAAAATTAATTATCCACTCTGAAATCCGTGGCTTTGGATCCACTATTATTTGGGTATAAGAAAAGATGATTATTCCAAAACAATATTAGAAAAGAGGATTATTCCAAAACAATATTAGATCAACTCATACAATGTTGTATTCAGACCACGATTTAATCTACATAAGTGGAGATTCTAACCAATACGGACTTTATTAGTTTATTAAGAATCTCATGTCGCTATTGATCAAAAAATGGAATACGAATTCGGAAAGTCGCTTCACAATACTCGTGTTTGAAGTCAAGTAGTCAACTGCCCAATTCTCGCATCGCACGGTCAACTCCCAATGGAAATGTTGGCCTACTTGCACACCGTCTGATTCGTTGAGTTGTGTCTCTAAAGTCTGTTAGAATATTCAAATTGAAATTAAAAAAAAAAAAATCAAACTTCAACTAAACAAAATGTTCAACATTAAATCATGTCAGTTCCGACTTGGATTGCATGATAAAGCATCCAGTCGTCAACTCCTGCGTTTGTGTTGGCGGCTCTAATGAACACAACATATTAATTTTGATAGTCATAATTAAGTTGAAAGATATCCATCAGTCTCAACAAAAAACAAAAAAAATAAAAAAAAAAACAAAAAACAAGAGTACAAATTGAGAAAATTATAAATTTTTTAATTTTAATGAACCCAATAAAGGTACGACCTATTTTACTCAATAAATTTTCAATTGCACCTAAATGGTGATGGCAGACAGAACATGAGTGGCGGGTTTGTCGAGACTCGTAAAAAAAAATTAATCTGAATTCCAAACAGATCAAAATTAATTTGTAGAAATAGTGGAATCAGATCGAATCCAAGAGAGCCGACTTTCAACTCTTAGTTTTAGAAAAATAGTAAAATGGAGGAATTTTTCTTTCTTCAAAATAAAATGACAAATTAAACCAAATAGAAATGCAAAGGAAATTAATAATAGAAAAGTTTGGTTCAAGGAATGAATTCAATGAAATTATAGATCATTGACTAAAAAAAATTATTTGTCTACGACTCGAGCATTTAACCATAGACTTAGGATATCCGTAAAAAACCTTATATTTTTTAAAAATATTTGACCAAGCCTAGCCCCTAATCAAACTTAGTATAATTTAACTAGGCACGATAGCGTTCCATATTAAATTATACGAGCACTAAAAACTTTGAAATTTTAGTTGAACCAAAAACTAAAATAATTGAGATAGCTGCAATTAAATTTTTTTTGTACTATTGATTCCCTAATTAGACTAATCATGCACATTCAACATGTCACTACCAACATGCATAATCTTCTAATGTGCTACTTAGTGCCAAATGTTAAACACAATAGCGTAGCATAAAGAATTTGGTAGTAGTAGGAAAGAAATACTTGATTAAATTGTCAAATTAATCAAGTATTTACTCTCATAAAAAGAAATAAAAATCAATAGATAATTAAATTAAAAATAAAAAAATAAAGTGAAATTTATAGTCTCAATATAGTATAAATGAATAAATCCTTGAACCAAAATAAGAAAACTAGCCACTGATAGTAACAAGAAACATTTTTAAAGGTTTAAAAATAAAACAAAACAAAATAAAAGGCTAAAAGAAGAAAATGGTGGCAAAAATGGAGAAATGGTAGCAGCCTAATGCTTGCTGCGGTGGGTGAGGTGTTTCTAAGGCCTAATAGTGCTAGCCTATTTATAGTAGTGCTAGCCAACTAAAATTCCAAGGAAGTAGGAACAAATCAATAACTCAATCTCATTCACAGTAGCTCTCCATAATCTTCTAAGTTGTTGCTTGGTTTTTGAGATTTTTTCAAATAAGTCAAAAATCTTATTGTTCCCGTTTTTGACTTGGTAAAAGAAAATCTTCAAAGCAATATCTCTGCATAATAATTCTGCCTCATTTCTTTGTATTAAAATCTTTTAATCTTTTAACTTCATAAAACAGTTAATAGAAACTCAAATTTTCCATCTTTCACCGTTTTACTACCTAGCATAATCAAACTATGACTATAAACATTATAACAAAATGAATTCTATTATGGCTATTAGGGAGACTAGTTTTGTCATAATCATTTCATTTACAATTAATTTTTTACTTTTTTGAAAATGGATTATTTAGTTAAGACCAAAAAAACTGAAATTAAATTATCTTTTATTTTAGGATGAATAAAATATAATAATACGTTTGACCGGCCAATAATACTAAATTATCTTTTTTTAGGATGAATAAAATACGATAATATATTTTACAAACATACAGCGGTGAACCGGCCAATTATCACTAGTATAGCGAAGTGATGTTGTGTAGAATATATATTGACATTTGGCGGGGTAACAACATTTAAAACCTACCATGTTTCGAAATTATTGTCTAATTTATATATTTTTTAATTAAAAAATATTAAAACTGAAAATGTAAACTAGATAATATAATTTTAAAACACAATGAATATCATTTTCTGCAAGAAACTTTCTGTCAACGGCAGAAATTTTTTGACCAGTGACTTATTTCTTCATTTGGTAATTCAACAACAAGGTTGTGTTCATATATAACAAAAACTACTGTTCTGTAAAAAAAAATAATAATAATAATCCATGTTGAGTTTTATTTCAAAACTCAATATGCACTAAATGTATTTTTTTTCTTTGGGACAGAGAGTTTAAAAATTATTAAAATTATCTCATTCTTTCTAACAAGTTACAACTAGTGCAAAATTAAAATCCTCCATCTCATAATCAAATTCATGTATATTTGTTGAATTAAAATATTACAAACAGATCATTTTCTGGAACACATGGAGATTGCTTGTGCTTCAATTTATTTCCCATTCTCTGTTCATGATTGTTTTGCTGTAACAATTTTTTTTTTTTTTTTTTTTATATCGGCACCTATTGCCTCTAACAACTGCACTACCCTTTTGATATCAGAGATTTGGCATTAGAGTGGTTCAAAGGAGACTTGATTTCAACAGCTCATACGCTAAATACAAAGAGGAAGAAGACGAAAACAGCTCGGAAATAATTTTGACACGAGTTCTAATAAAATTTTATATACTATTTGCCCCAATTGTCAAGTTCGTCGAAACATGGTGTGAATCTGTTATTGTTCTTCTTCTTTTTTTTTTTTATTATTATTATTATTTCTTTGGTTATTATGTGCCCCGATTATCTTTCTTTCTTAATTCTCCTTTCTTTCTATCCATTGAAGAAGACCACTCTGAATGCAGTATCATTTTCTCAGAATTAAGAATATGTCAATACATATCAATCTATCTTTTTTATCTCGCATTTTTCAATTTTATTATATTTTTTGGACTCAAATTATGGTTTTTTGGTTATGTGAGGGTCAAACATAAAAAGTTTGTCCCTATAAGAAAGCTATATCCATTGACCATTCACACGGTAGCATAGAGATAGAAGAACATGGTTCCTCCCCCCATTGTCCCAGTCAAAAACCATCAAATTGCACATGATGATTCTGAAAAAAGAATTAGTATTAAAACAAGTCAACTTAGTTTCCTATCTCCTTCCTACATTTTGCTAGTTCTCAAGTCTCAAATTCTCTAAACAACCATATAAATCACCAACATTTTCAACTCTCAGATTCAAACAACTCCTCAATCAAATTTGATTTTTCTCTTTACATCTGCCTGTTCCATTTCCAAAATCCCCCCAAAAACAATAGAAAATCCATGGCACAGTTCAACAATAGCAACAGCATTATTAACAATGGTGAAGTGCATCACTCAAATTTAAGGCATCTTCCAAGGCGAATAATCTTAGTACGACATGGGGAGAGCGCAGCCAACATAGATGAACAAGTCTACGGCAATACACCTGACCATAGAATCTCGTTATCAATAGACGGAATCGAACAAGCCCGAGAAGCCGGTCGGAAGATCCTGGATATGGTTAATTCATCCGGAAACAACAACTGGAATGCCTACTTTTATGTGTCTCCTTACCAGCGGACAAAGTCAACTCTAAGGGAGATTGGCCGGGCATTCCCGAGAAACCGAGTTGCCGGAGTTAGAGAGGAATGCCGGATCAGGGAACAGGATTTCGGGAACTTCCAGGATAAAGCGGAGATGAAGAAGCTCAAGGAAGATAGGGATAGATATGGAAGGTTCTTTTACCGGTTCCCGTCTGGAGAATCCGGATCTGATGTTTACGATCGGGTTTCAAGTAAGTTTAACTGATTTAGTCAATCTAGATATGCTCATGTAAAAAGGGTTCTTATTTTAACAAATGTATCTTTACAGGTTTTTTGGAATCCTTATGGAGAGACATAGATATGAACAGGCTTTCCATTGACCCATCTGCTGAGTTGAACATTGTGATCGTGTCACACGGATTATCGATTCGGGTTTTTCTTATGAGGTGGTTCAAGTGGAGTGCTGAACAATTTGATGCTCTCAAGAGCCCGAAGAATTGCGAGATCAGAGTTCTGGAGTTGGGATCGAGCGGAGAATACAGTTTGGCTATCCAGCATGATGATCAAACTCTGCAGGGATGGGGACTCTCCCCTGAAATGATTGATGATCAAAAGCAAAGAGCCAATGCGAAACCTGGAAAATATGTTTGGAAGGAAAGGAGTCCATGGTACCTCAACACTTTCTTCGATTCAGTTGATTCTTCTGATCAGGTTGATGGTGAAAAAGTTGATCAGCCTTAGACTATTTTGCTGTCTTTATTAATTAGTACTAAAGACAGAAACCTTCATGTATTGTTGTTGTTATAGCTGCTCATATGGATGCGAGCTTCTTGTACTCTTCCATGATTAAAGACAGAAACCTTCATGCATTGTTGTTGTTATAGCTGCTCATATGGATGCTAGCTTCTTGTACTCTTCCATGATTAACCTCCTCAATCATATATTTGGGTAGAATTGGAGGAATATAACAGAAAAAAACAGAACAAAAATCTGTTTCACAACTTTTTCAAACTAATGTAATTTATGGTAATGGAAAGGTCGTTGACGTAGTAACTATGAGTCTATGAGTTCATTGTTCAGATTTTAATGTTTAAATTGGAATGTTTTATTAAGTTTCTCTTAAATCTATCATCATTCCTGAACATCATGATGTAATTGAGAATCCCCTCTATGGTTTCCAACTAATGCTCAGTTGTTTTGGCTCTTTTGGTGACCTGGTCTTTCTGAACAGAATCAGCTGAACCGAAGAAGTATTTGAGGTACCATGATGGACTCTTGCCCTTGGGAACATATGTTCCAGGTTCATCATTGGCTCTTTGCTTTTGATCCTCAATCATTTCATCCGAAAGTCCCCATGCTTTCAGCGTTTCATCAGTATGTCGGATCGCCAAGCTATATTCTCCACTGGCTCCTAACTCCATAACTCTGATCTTGCCGGTTTCAGGGCTTGTAAGAGATTCAAATTGTTCAGTGCTCCACTTGAACCACCTCATAAGAAAAACTCGAATGGATTCGTCATGGGACACAATCACAATATTCATCAACTCTGCAGGTGTGTCTTTGGAAAGCCTATTCATGTCTATGTCCCTCCATAAGGATTCCAGAAAATCTGAAAAATTAAGACACACAAGATTAGCTGCTAATTTTTGTGAATGATACACTCAGGACAAGGAAATTATAATTCATCTTTGTTACAAAACACGATTCAATTGACATCGTAGGTTTTACTAATGAAGAAGTTGAAAAAAATGGTATAGAGTGTCTCAAAACTTACTTGAAACGCGGTCATAAACATCAGCTGCAGATTCTCCGGACGGGAATCGATAAAAAAATGTTCCATATTTTTTACTTTCCTCCTCGTGATCATTTTTAGGCCTGAAGTTGCCAAAATCCTGTTCCCTGAGTCTGCATTCCTCTCTGATTCCGGAAATATGATTCCTCGGGAATCACCTGCAAATCTCCTGGACAGTTGACTTGGCGCGCTTGTAAGGGGAAACGTAAAAGTAGGCCTTCCAGGAAGTTAAACTTCCATGTTCAGAAACCAAATCCAGGATCTTCACACCTGCTTGAATGGCTTGAGAAATTCCTCACTGGATAATGGGATTTCATGGTTAGGTGTAAACCTGTAGAGTTTTTCATCGGTGTTGGCGTCGCTCTCGACATGGCATACCAGGATTATTCGCTGGGGAAGACGCCAGTTCATCATATTCGAGTTAGCGTTGGGAGGGATGTTATACATTGTGCATCCTAATTAGCTAGATATGATGTGGTTGGAAATTGATTGAATTTCATATTCTGAGTTTTTGTGTGATTTTGAGCTTTATATATAGTGAGACTTTGTGACCAGCAAATATGTGGAAGTATAGATGTAGATTCATGTCATGTAAACTCAACATGTGTGTTGTAAATATTTCAAAAAAAGATCATCTCCTTTTGGAGTGTGGTTTTTTTCTTCCCACTTTTGGTTGCATTCAACCCGTGACCTGTTGAAATGGATATTTGGTGTGAAAAACGCCTCAAATCAATGTGTTTTCATACGAAAAGGCAAAATTGTCACGACACTAACTAATGGAGATCTATGCATATTAAAATCCGTCGTCCTTACTTTTGTTACTTTTTCCGTGTCAAAATAACGATCTTGTTTGAAACTTTTTGTTAAAAATTGAAAGATCGATGAAGATGGTATGTTTTTATCATGATTCTGGCGGGCGTGTAAAACGCAATGCTGATCAGAACAAGTCTTAATCTATAGCTGCTACCACATGTACATGATTGTGAGGTCACTGGTCCTTTTCCTATCTCATTCTGTTTGTCTCTTTATTCACCTTTTATGTGAAGGAAAAAGAAAAAAACACACACACACACACACACAACACACAATTTCAGAATTCAGAGGCGTTTTTTCACCTCAATATCGATCTCAACAGATCATAGGTTGAATACAACCAAAGGAAATTAAAAGAAAAGAGGGATTTCGAAAGGTAAAAACACACATGGTTAATTTTTCATAACTCTTCAATATATACAGAGTTCAATCATATACCAAAGCCAGAACATCATAATTCATATCCGTACTGATACACATTCTTTTCCATTTAAACTACATCATATCTTGCTAAAACTGTCGGGGGTGTGGAGGCAGGTCAGTAACGTTAATCTTCCGAAGCAAATTATCCTAGTGCGCCACGGGGAGAGCCACGCGAATGTGGATAAAACATACTACGAAACCACAGCTAACCATAAAATCTAATTAACAGAAAAAGGGGAATCCGAAGCCAGAGAAGCCGGTCAGAAGATACTGAAGCTGTTTAAGAAATCAGAGGGAATGGACTCATCAGGTGATCATTCGCCGAACTGGAATGCCTACTTTTTTGTGTCTCCTTACGCCCGGACAAAGTCTACTGCGCAGGGGATTTGTGGAGAAATTATCCAGGATATTTGCAGGGAGAAATGCGGGGAAAATTGCCAGGGGATTTGCTGGTCAGTCCTGTCTGAACGAGTTGTCGGAATTAAGGAGGAATGCAGAATCAGAGAGCAAGATTTTGCGAATTTCCAGACAAAAGGTGAGATATCTGGTATCAGGACAGCAAGAAATAATTATGGAACGTTCTTCTTCAGATATCCAAAAGGGGAATCCCCAGCTGATATTTACGACCGAATTTCAAGTAAGTTTGATTACCTACACTTTAAACTGTTTCTTTAATAACATGGTCAAGAAAAACTTTTAAAATTATATTAATCTTTGTTGCAGCTTTTCTGAAAACATTATGGAGGGATATAGACATGAAAAGGCTTTCCAGTGACCCTTCTTCTCCTGAGTTGAGTATTGTGATTGTTTCCAATGGAACGACAATTCGAGTTTTCCTCACGAGGTGGTTCAAGTGGAGCGCCGAGCAGTACAACGAGCTATGGGAGACAGGGAACTGCGAGATCAGAGTAATGACCAAAGGACCGATTGGAGAATACAGTTTGGCTTTTGAACATGATGAAGAAACCATGAAGAGATGGGGCCTGTTTGAAGATACAATAAAGGATCAAATCCACCGAAAAGATGCTAAACCTGGAGAATATGTCTGGAAGGAAAATAGTGAAACGTACATTGAAAACTTTCTTTCACGCACCTGATCCTGAATTCCTGATCATGGATCCGTTCAGAAGAATGAGAAAGCCAACTGAGTCTTCTAAAATTTGCTATCTTTTCTACACAATTTATGGATGTCAGACTAAATGATATCCTTGTATATCTAAATGATTCGATGCAATTGCAACAAACTTGTACTGGAGGACGGGAGACGTGTAACATATTTGCAAACAATTGTACTAGATTTCAACGAGTACATTATGATGTCACCTAGAATAAAGAGATGACTGAAAACTCAAGAATTTGTTCTAGCAGATGAGGTGTAACTCTAGTGTTCTAGAGAAGGAACGTAAATCAAGTCATGACTATATTTACAGGGTACCCTGACAAGTGACAAGCACTATGTACCACCTTATCAAAAGAATTTCTATACCGAGTAAAGAAAAAAAAAATAAAAAAGAAGCAACAATGAATCAAATTTCAGTATAATTTCTCATGAATCAGTCCAGCCAAAGTTACGAGCACGCTCCTCCCATAACAGAGTCAGCTTGCGCTCCTCTGCCAAAGCTGCTTCAGCAACTTCCCGTGCATCCTCACAGGTGCCCACCATTATCAAGCATTTTGCTCCTTCGTTTTGGTAGTGTAATGTTGATCTCCTCGACTCCAAAATTAATTCCTGCGTGTGTTCCAAGCTATCACGCGTCACATTTTTCTGTAAGCTGATCTCCTCTGACAGCATAGTAGTGATATCCTTTGTCATTTCCTCATTCATCTCCGGGTCTCCTGTATGACAATCTGCACACAATATTAGCAGCCAATCAGCTAGTTTGGGGAGTAATAACATGATCAAGCAACAGATAGAGCGAGTGCCCCAAGCCCCAAGGTTTATTATAACGTACTGGACTTGTTGACCCATTAGCAAGCAAAAAAGGTAAAAATGTTGAGTCTCTAATAGTAATCAATGTCCATTATCTTTAAAATTCACAGCAACCGAGCAGTTGACCAAAGATGCAGGACAGTTTGTATCTAAAATTTCAGCACCACATAGCATTATTTCTATGAGAATAGGAAGAACATGACTTCTTTCCTAAAAAAACTACTTCGCCTTTGGTTTTCCTTTATGAAATAGAAAAAAATATACTGGGCATCCTCTAAAGTGGCTCTGTGTAGCTGTCATCCCCAAAATTAACCATAAAAGAAAGAAAAGATAAGAAAAGATGTGAAAAGCTTGAAAAAGTAATTTACCTGAGTATGACCCATTAAAGATATCTGCAAATGGTAAAACACAAATGAAAAAGTCAATGAACAGTATCAGTAATAAGAAGTGAAGTGAAGAAAAAACAAAATGAAGTACTAATTATCCACCACTGGTTAGGATCTCTAATCTCTGGTGGTTTCCACAGTAAGCACAAGTAAAGTCTGCTTAACTTGCAGATTTCATCCTATCAAGAAGTTTCACAAAATAACTTTGACAGATGCTCTAATTTAATCCTGATACATAGATTTCCATTGAATATCAAAATCCACAGCGCACTTCATAGGCTTTGACGATAATGTCTACGTCGATCACATAATGGGGGAAAAAAGTTAAACCACAAATGGCAAGCATTCCATAATCACAATCTTACGATTAAGAAAATCCATTTTCGAAAACGTTCCTTGTAAGGTATAGTGCCAAAAATCAGAGATAGCAGATACACCCAGAAAACAGAAATAAAGGGATCCTTTTAAAAGTTTTCCTATGTGATAAAACAGTGGTTATTCTAATCCCTGTAACTGCAGATTCTCAAGCCCTTTTTTTCTCTCTCACAATTCAAAAACCGCTCGCTCCTTTTTAGCAACTCATCAAATAATCTAGAATTACGTGATGATGATGATTAAACACTAGTACAGCACAGCCTCACAATCTAAGAGATCATCTCCCTTTGTAATTGAGGATTCATCTCAGTTCCTTTATTTATCAATTAATTTTCCATTTTTGCAGCCTATCTGATATGAGAATTATCATCATCTTCAGCAGAAAGCTCTTCTGTTGTAGATTGAATCACATAGTTTGCGAAAGCTTAAGCTAATACTTAACCAACAAGCATGACGTAGCTTGAGGAAACTGCTGCCACTATTACTTTACAAGTTACAACTAATAAGTATACAAGCTAATGCAAAAGAAGCTCTAATGCATGGAGCCACAAAACAGAGAGCCATGCAGGGCCATGCCCTAAAGTTGAATGTTCTACTGTATCCTTTTAGCAGAGCAGCGCATTCAAGAACGATTCAATCAAGTCTACAAAGAAGTTAGTCGTAAAACAGGCATTTCTACTACTCAACCTTCCTATTCAATCCCCAGCTGTGGACTGTTTCAGTAATTACAAAATGTTACCTAAATCAAGTTCAACAAATTCCTGACACTTAATTTAGCTTCCATCCCTGGTTCGACTATGAAAATGAAAGCCTCATTGTTCAAGACAGATACAAAATTCCATCATATGCCTTTCAATGTGCTTATTGCTATACTGATTAGACATGCAAAATCAAGTACAATTGATTGAAAGCTTGAAATTGAAATGCAAAACCAATCCAGAGCATGATCTTTTGATCTTTTCACATGATTCAGAAACAAACTTGAGCCCATAATATACAGAGAGAAAGATGGAAAAAAAGTATTAACTGTAACAATTGCCCAACTATAATTCCAAGAAAAGGAGGTGAAATTAAATTACCAGGAGGCAATTCCATTTCTTCTGAAAGGCAGTGACATGAACATTTAGGACATGAAACGACAACTGCAGACTTTATCTGAGGTCCAGAGCCTCCAAATAATGCGGGTCCCACAACATAAGCAACCAAGAACAAGCAGCCCAGTAAGATCAAGATTAACCTCGCCGCCACCCCGGCATTCCTCAGTCTGTGGTGTGATTGGTGCGCCATAAAATTTCCTGAAAAACAAAACCCACCAAAAAAAACCCCCAAAATCTGTAAAGCTTTATCCTAAACTTTTATACTGTACACCAACATGGCTGGGAAGAGAAAAGAAAACCCATAACCCAAAAAAAAAAAAAAAAAAAAAAAAACCCACTTTCAGTACCTAATTTGAAGCGGTCAGAACTTCCACTCCTGCTCAAACTCAACCATTTCAGCACCAGAATCATAAGAAACCCAGTTTAGTCACACTATCTATGATTTTATCTGGTTACCAACCTCCATTCAAATTAACCATAGAAAGCTGCTTCTTCTTAGAAAAGCAAAATGTGGGTGGACAAGCTGACAGCAGCAAAGCAGACTACGAGGCAACTGAGCAATGGATCCAAGAAAGAAATCGTAGACTGTGAAAATGGAAATTAAAGAAATCTTTCTCTACTTGTGACTTTAATACTTAATAATTTGTTAATTAATCTAAAGGAAATAAAGATAACCCAGATCCCGAAAAGGAGAAACGTGATTTAAGGATATATGCATTTGGGAATTTTGCATAGGAATTGATTTTTATTTTTTTTTCTCTCTTTTAAGAAAAAAAAGAAAAGGAAGAAAAATATGGAGTGAGGAAGATGTCAGTTTCTTAATGAAGACTTTGATAAGCAATTAAAACTTAAAAACCGGGAAATAAGATTCCCTCTAATCAAGTGAACAACCGGGTGACCCGTTGGACCCGTGTGATTCCAGTAATTTTACTAATATTATATGGGTGAATTCGTAATTTCGGATACCACCGAACCCTATATTATTTCGGCTTATACTAAAGACCAAAAAAGAAAAAAGAAGATAAAAAAAAAGAAAAGAAAAGAGAGAATAACGTATTTTGTTAACGTCTCATAAACAATCAAAGTAAAGGAATATAGGTTGCATACCTTTGGGTTGAAAGAGAAAATTAAAGGTTGGTTGTTGCGCTATCCCTCTGCTAACTTATGTAAGTCACAAATTTTACAAATTGGGGGGTCTTGTTAATTCGATTTGTTCGTCAATTCAGTAAAAATTGTGTTATACATTTGATAATTTCGATTTCTTTGTTAATCCAGTGATGACTGTACTGAAATTATTGTCCACTTTAAAGTGAAAAAATCCGTTATACAATAATTTCAAAAGGAGTATTTGTTTGATAATATAGAGTATAGATTCAATTAATACCAATACTCGAATTGTCTCTATCTGTTGAATTACCTTGTCAAGAGTCGTGTGAAGGTGTGTTTTCTTATGGTTTATTTAGTAGTGTGTTAATAATACAAATGTCTCTGGCCTAAATTAAAGGAATGAGATGATGAATTGGTTGCCGGAAGAAATCGTAAATGAGATCTTGGTGAAGTTGCCAATCAAGTCATTGTTGAGGTTCATTGTGGTTTGTAAGTCATGGCAGGCTTTAATGAAGAGCCCTAGGTTTTACCAGCATCATCACTACAATAAAGAAATGGTATACATTATGACCACCAGAAGGAACAAACTTAAATATGTGAAGAATTGATGAGTTAGGGTTTGTAATCCAAGAACACATACTAAAGGTGTGATTTAATGCAGCAGTTGTGAAAATAGAAGTTCTTGATTCGAGCTGTACTTTTGATCATATAAATATACAGACATAATTCTGTGGAGAGCAAGTTGCCACCTCAGCTTTAGTTATACACGGGCTAAAGAAGTCAACTACTCCTATATATGTACAAATATTACAGCTGTACATTCAATCAACCAAAATCTGAAATGGTATGCATCACGTGTTCATCTGTATTAACAACAACCAGCTCGTTCATGTTGTGGTCCTACTTGTCGATGTGTCCGTCAAGGTCTTCAAGGTCGACAGGTTGGAAAGCTGACTTGATTTCCTTGACCCCCTCAAGCTCAGGTTTGGGCTGATGAGAATCACAAACCTGAAGCTTGGACAGAAGGAATGTGAATTGAGGAGAGAGTAAACACTTGGTGAAGATATCAGCGGGTTGCATCCGAGAAGGAAGATGGTAGAGATCAAGGAAGCGATCTTTATAAAGATTGCGAACTAAGTGACAATCAATATCCAAATGCTTGGTTCGTTCATGAAAAGTTGGATTAGCAGCGATGTGTAGAGCAGATTTATTGTCGCAAGCAAAAGAGATTGGCAAAGAAACAGGAACCAGCAAATCTGCAAGAAGATATGAAATCCACTTGGCTTCGCAAGTAGCTGATGCCATGCTACGGTATTCAGCTTCACAAGAGGATTTAGACACTGTTGATTGTTTACCCAAGGAAGACACAATACCCACTGAGAGAGAATCTGATGATTGGACAAGTGCCCCAATCAGCATCAGTGAACACTGAAACAGTGAGATCAGAATGACCGGAATAGAAAACACCCAATGAAGGAGTTCCTTTGAGGTACTTGACTACATGTAGAGCAGCCTGCCAATGTACCTCCTTTGGTGAGTTGACAAACTAAGTTGTTGAGTAGCATAGGTAAGATCAGGGCGAGTAAATCCCAAATAGAGAAGTCGACCAACCAATCTTCTATACTGCTCAGCAAACTGATGAGGAGGATTGTCCTTGTTGTAGAGATTGAGTCTCTTTGGCAGAGGTGTGTTAACTGGTTTGCAACCCAACAACCCAGTGCTTTTAACAATATCAAGGACATATTTTCTTTGATTGAGAATGATACCATCTAATGACCTGAAAATTTCTACACCAAGGAAGTATTTTGCAGCCCCCAGATCTTTAATAGTGAAAGTCTTGTGGAGAAACTGTTTAACCTCAGTAATCAGTGCAGATGAGCTACCCATGATGAGAACATCATCCACATAAACAAGCAGAATCAGAATGGAATCAATAGTTTGTTTAATGAACAAACAATGGTCATGAGAGGATTGAACAAAACCAAACCGCTCCAACTGCTTAGTGAATTCCTTGTACCATTGGCGCGAAGCTTGCTTTAGGCCATATAATGACCTTTTTAAAAGACAAATGACAAGCCGTCGTCACACTAGTCAAATAATTAATTACCTACTTAATACAATTACTAGCAGTAAAGTAAAAAAGCAGGGTCGATGCCACAGAGAAGGTTACCAAGTACCGGTTAAAATTATTTCTTATTATTATTTAGATTAACAATTTATCAATTTAAACTAATCTAAACCTAAAACTATCAATTGCAATTATTTAAAGATATAAATAAGTAAAAGAAAAACCTAAGGCAAAGGGTTCACCAACCGACTATTCAGTTTAATTTAATCTATAGATATGTGACTTTTGACTCCCATTAATCTCACAACAATTCACCAATTTAAGAATTATACACTCTCGTGTCATAACCCTCTTACTTAAACAAACGCTATGACTACTCTCGTGACTATAGGGATTAATAAAAGTACATTAATAACTTTGGAATTACTTGCCGCAAAGGCGGTGTTCCTACTCTCGTGGCTCACTACCTAAGTTTATTATTCCTACAAACTAATACTAGCCTTCCACTCTCGCTACTTCAGCTAGCACCTTAAAGCATGCAAATATTGATCAGGTATTCACATGGATGAAAACAAGAATAATAAATATTAATTAATGAAAAAGTCACAACCATAACTTAAATTAAATTAAATAGTACGGCGGCTACATTCAAAACCCTAGATTAAATAATTTAGCTACACACCATCTCAAAAATAAATAAAACAATGAAACTCGAGAGAAGTAGGCCAAAAGTTGAGATTGAAGTGGATTGCTTCCTCCTCCCTCCGATGATGGTGCGTGGAGTAACGATGATGAGGCGTCGATGGTGATGGAGGCGTGAGTTTGTTAGTAATGGAGTTTTGGGCGTAGATTTGGTTTTGGTGGTGATGCACATGGAGATGGGGTGCTGGAATGATGATGATGAGATATAGATGGTGATGATGCGTGGGGAAAGGGTTTGATGGAAGGAGGTTCGGTGGTGCGTGGGAGTGTGAAGGATGATGGAGTTGGTTTTGGAGTTTGGAGGGTTTTGGGCGTAGGTTTGTTTTTATCTCTCCAAAAATAAAACCCTAGTCCTCTTTTTATAGGCTTTCCTAAAATCCTATTTCTTCAGGAATAAGAAAGTTATTTTTTTTCAAGCATATTTAAATTAAAACTCCTCCAACTCTTCAAGTGCTTCAATTTCTTCCTTGTCAATTTATCAAATCTTCAATTCTCCCTTTGAGTTGCTTTTCCTTTTCAATTTAGTCCAAAATCTCAACAATTCTTCCATTCGAGTACAAAATCTACAAATAAAGATAAAATCATATAAATAGCATATTTGTACTCATAATATATTGTAAAAATCACAAATTAGGGATATAATAAATAGGTTAAATATAAGCATATCAAATACCCCCAAACTTGAATTTTTGCTTGTCCTCAAGCATTTCCAAAGATTAAAACAAATAAAAACCGTTAATTATTTAATTCGGTGGACTCAGAGATTCAATCATCATATAACACACAGATCTCGACTACCTCTAATATGCACTACCTAACAAAATGAAAACCATAGCTACTTTTAGCCCCCACGCTTGTGTCTATGTATGTGCGATCCATTTCTTAGGGACATCACTTTACATTTAACATAGAAAACAAAAGCTCTACTGCAAATATGCCATTTTACTTTAACAACAGACTCACATTTCGTACCATATTACAATGCAATGGACCGCCAAACATACTATGAAGTAGAAGGACTTATCTCACAGACAACCTATTCCCCCTCGTAACCCATTTTTCGGTCCATGCGGCTTTTCTTCAGGACTCTTTCTAACTCAAGCTACTACCCAGAGCATTTTTCCACTCCTATACATAGTGGCTCAGCAACTTAAGGCAGTCTATATATCTATTTTTCCTCACCGAGCCTGAGGACTCTTCGCTCAGGTTGCCAATTCCTCACCTCTCAATGGGCTAGCATCAACATTAAATGCTCTTCCTTTTCTCCCTCATTAAATTTAACCTAACCTCAGAAGCATCCGCCAACACCCCTCCCCCAAACTTACTTAACACAAAGTGTCAAAACAATAAGGTTTTTTAAGGCTGATATTGGGTTAATGCCTTGCTTTTCCTTCACGACATGATGGGTTCCACATACATATCATATAAGTATGAGTGAATCAAAAACAACTTTTCATGGAATATCTACATCAAACTTATTCAACTATGTCTCACTTTACGCTTATCCCACAGTCACGACTAAGTGCATAAAAAGTAGGGTATTCAAAGCAACATATAGAATTACACAAGTTAAGCAATATAATTCAAAATAGTGTAATTCTTACATGCTATAGATAATTAAACCAACTCCATCATAGGTCTTTTTGGATTTTTCAAATTTTTCAATTTTTATGGGTTTTTTTTTTAAAGAAAGATAAACACAAAACACAAATATTCCTCTCCCCCACACTTAAAGCATACATTACCCTCAATGTATAAAACACAAAAGACAAGACAACCAAGTGAAAACAAAAGAAAAGATATAAACAAAAAAGAATGAAAAGAAATGACACAACCTTGGAATGCGAAACAGAGGACCGGAATTGTTGCAACTGCCATCCAAGCACACGACCAACTTCTTCAGAATTTTGGATGTTTCATTTTCAGCACCACTGGACACAAGAGTTTCGCCCTTCCAACAAACCTAATTGCACACTAAAGCAAATTAGAAAAACAAACCTAAAAATAGATGATTAAGAAAAACCACGAAAATCCAGAAATCAAAGATCTCCAGATAATCAGGAACAAAAAACTTAACCATCAACTTATTAATGAAAGAAAAATAAAAAATAAAACAAAATAAAGAATTGGGTTGCCTCCCAACAAGCGCTTCTTTAAAGTCATGAGCCGAACTTTATGGCCAATCAGTCAGAGTACCCATCTCGATACCAGAAGAAACCATATTCAGCAGCAACAATGAATCTCTTGAAGTTGTTCTCCTTTCCATGAGAAAATATAAACTTATACTCCAACACTACAACATCCTCTTTCTCAAATTCAATCTTGTACCATTGATCCTCTTCTTGGTCTTTCATTGAACTATTTTTCATATCATCCTCACTATCTCTTATACTATGGACAACCTCGTCACATTTGTCTACTTGAAACCCTTCTTTTGAAACTATAGGAATGTTACTCTCATCAAAATCAACTTGATCTACATCCTTGTCACCAACTCTCAGAATGAGCGAATCATGCTTAACTACTATGTATATACTAGAAGAATCAGGAGAACTTGTACTATCTAGACTGTTAATCTCTTCGGTCTCTTCTAATTCTTCACATTCAGGCTCAGTTTGAGAGGGTGGATGGGGAGACTGGACCAATGAATCATCTTCAGAAATCTTCTCATTCTTATTCAATTTACGCAAATTTCCTATAGGATCATATTCCGGCAACCCCACACTCAACCTATATTGATTGACTTCTTTGATAAGTTGTTGACCTTTTTCACTTTGCCAATCTCGAAGAGCTGCCTCTCTAACACTAAGTTGAGGTTGAGCAGGTGGCTGTTGATACGAAGATGCTAACTGTCTCAAAGTGGGTTGACAAGGTGATGACTGTAAGGCTGCTAGCTCTCTCAAAGTAGGTTGACGAGCTGCTAGCTCTCTCAGAGTAAGTTGACGAGCTGCTGACTCTCTTAGAGTGGGTTGAGGAGGTGGTGGTTGATATACTGATACATTTGAGTGGTAACAATCCTCTTGAGAGAAATATGAAGCATTTTTCTTCTCGATGTCATCCAGCAATTTATCAATTCTCTCCAAACATGACAACATCTTAGGACTCATATACGTGCTCTCAAAACAAGAATTATACCCAGCATCAAATGAATACCCTTGATAATCACAACCATAGTAAGGATCAGAAGACGAATTGTTCCAAGAATATAAATCTTCTTGATATGTAGCATAGTCTCCATATTCAAAATTATAACCACAATACGGAGCATCTCCATATCCATAGTTATAATTCTCCATAATAACTCAAATATCCTACAAAGTTATTGACACAAGAAAGAAAAGAGAATAAAAATAAAAATAAAACAAAATAAAATAAAAATTAATAAAACAAAGGAAAATATATACCAATCTAAATTAATAAAAAAAATAATCTAGTTTTGATATTGGTTATGCCGTCCGCGGCAACGGCGCCAAATTTGATAAGCCGTCGTCACACTAGTCAAATAATTAATTACCTACTTAATACAATTACTAGCAGTAAAGCAGAAAGCAGGGTCAATCCCACAGAGAAGGTTACCAAGTACCGGTTAAAATTATTTTTTATTATTATTTAGATTAACAATTTATCAATTTAAACTAATCTAAACCTAAAACTATCAATTGCAATTATTTAAAGATATAAATAAGTATAAGAAAAACCTAGGGTAAAGGGTTCACCAACCGACTATTCAGTTTAATTTAATCTATTGATATGTGACTTTTGACTCTCATTAATCTCACAACAATTCACCAATTTAAGAATTATATACTCTCGTGTCATAACCCTCTTACTTAAACAAACCATATGACTACTCTCGTGAGTATAGGGATTAATAAAAGCACATTAAGAACTTTGGAATTACTTGTCGCAAAGGCGGTGTTCCTACTCTCGTGGCTCACTACCTAAGTTTATTATTCCTACAAACTAATACTAGCCTTCCACTCTCGCTACTTCAGCTAGCACCTTAAAGCATGCAAATATTGATCAGGTATTCACATGGATGAAAACAAGAATAATAAATATTAATTAATGAAAAAGTCACAACCATAAATTAAATTAAATTAAATAGTACGGCGGCTACATTCAAAACCCTAGATTAAATAACTTAGCTACACATCATCTCAAAAATAAATAAAACAATAAAACCCGAGAGAAGTAGGCCAAAAGTTGATATTGAAGTGGATTGCTTCCTCCTCCCTCCGATGATGGTGTCTGGAGTAACGATGTTGAGGCATCGATGGTGATGGAGGCGTGAGTTTGGTAGTAATGGAGTTTTGGGCATAGATTTGGTTTTGGTGGTGATGCACGTGGAGATGGGGTGTTGGAGTGATGATGATGAGATGGTGATGATGCGTGGGGAAAGGGTTTGATGGAAGGAGGTTCGGTGGTGCGTGGGAGTGTGAAGGATGATGGAGTTGGTTTTGGAGTTTGGAGGGTTTTGGGCGTAGGTGTTTTTTTATCTCTCCAAAAATAAAACCCTAGTTCTTTTTTTATAGGCTTTCCTCAAATCCTATTTCTTCAGGAATAAGAAAGTTATTTTTTTTTCAAGCCAATTTAAATAAAAACTCCTCCAACTCTTCAAGTTCTTCAATTTCTTCCTTGTCAATTTATCAAATCTTCAATTCTCCCTTTGAGTTGCTTTTCCTTTTCAATTTAGTCGAAAATCTCAACAATTCTTCCATTCGAGTACAAAATCTACAAATAAAGATAAAATCATATAAATAGCATATTTGTACTCAAAATATATTGCAAAGATCACAAATTAGGGATATAATAAATAGGTCAAATATAAGCATATCAACAAACTTGATTAGGTAGGGTTTTCTTTGTAACCTTGAGGAGATGTCATATAAAGAGTTTCTTCAAGATAGCCATGCAGGAAGGCATTATTGATGTCTAGTTGCTGGACTGACCAATTCTTTGCTGCTGCTAAAGCAAAAACAATTCGCACGGTAACCAACTTTGCCACTGGGGAGAAAGGCTCCTTATAATCTTCTCCTGAAATCTGATTATACCTTTTAGCCACCAAACGTGCCTTGTGCTTGTCCACTGTACCATCAGGGTTATACTTGACTTTGTATACCCACTTACATCCCACTGCCTTCTTTCCAATTGGCAACTATGTAAGAATCCATGTACCATTTGCTTCTAAGGCATCAATCTCTCTTTGCATTGCATGTTGCCACTCAGGATGATGTTGTGCCTGATTATAAGAAGCAGGCTCAAGAATCTTTGAAATGTTAGCCAAAAAAGTCACATGCCCAGGAATAAGGTGTGAGGAGACATGGAAATGAAAAGTTGTAGGTGGCAAAAACTTTGGAGAAACTACAGCACTATGAGAGACGTATGTATCCATCCAATAAGGAAGTTTGCTTACACTGGTACTATATCTGGTAGGAAGCACTGATCGTTGTGAAGAATGAGATACATAAGATGAAGAATTCTGAGAATGATTATAATCAGATGAAATTTCAGTAGAATGAGAAGATGAGATAACCTGATCAGTATCAATATGATCAATGTTAAGATCCTAATCTCTGATAACAGGTAGAGGAACCATATCAGAAGAAATAGAAGCAGAAAGTTGTTGAAAAGGAAAGATGCTTTCCTGGAAAACTACATCCCTGGATGTATAGACCTTATGATCCTCTAGGTTGTACACTTTGTACCCCTTCTGACCACTAGGATACCCTATGAACACTCCTTTGAATGCTCTTGGAGAAAACTTATCTTTATGTGGAAAAGTGTTAGTAACAAAACATTGACAACCAAACACTCTTAAATGTGATAGACTTGGTGGTTTTGAAAATAGTACTTCAAATGGAGATTTCCAATTCAACAGGGCGGTAGGCAATCTGTTGATGAGATATGTTGCAACAAGGATGGAATCTCCCCAAAATTTCTTTGGAAGAGAAGATTGAAACATAATGGCCCTTGCTACTTGAAGTAAGTGTTTGCGTTTCCTCTCAACAACCCCATTTTGTTGAGGGGTATAAACACAACTTCTTTGATGAAGAATGCCTAGTTTAGAGAATAAGGATAGGCATTCCTGATTAATGAACTCAGTTCCATTATCACTTCTAACTATTTGGACTGATTTCTGAAACTGTGTGAGAATCATAGCAAAAAAGAACTTCAAGATATTGGACAGTTTGAGATTTTTGTTTAACCAAGTAAGTCCAAGTGGATCTACTAAAGTCATCCACAATTGTAAGAAAGTAGTGTGTCTGTGAAAGAGTTGCATGAGCATAAGGACCCCAAAGGTCAACATGAATTAATTCAAAAACAGATTTAGAATGAATTGAAGTAACAGGAAAAACACTCTTTGCTGTTTAGCTAGTGGATAGATTTCACAATTGTCAATCTGCCTAGAACAAACAATGGAAGAATCTGAAATGTGATTGAGTACATTATTTGATGGATGTCCTAACCTAGAATGCCATTGAACACTCAGGGCTACATTATTGAAAGCTGAACTATCCATGTATAAATGTGAACTAATTTCTGAAAACAAACAAGGCAAATGTCTCTCAATTTGTTCTCTGATATAAAAAGGATTGAAAGAGTGCTTGGTGAGAGCATAAAGACCCTTGATCACCATGCCAATTCCAAGAATCTTATCAGTCGCTAGGTCCTATAAGATGCACAAATTAGCCAAAAAAAGAAGTAAATTTTCTCTGTTTGAGCCAATTTTCTTACTGAAATGAGATTATATTTAAAAGAAGGCACATATAAGGCATCTTTCAAAACAAGTCTGGAATTCAAAGGAATGTTTCCTACTTGTTCTACATATTGCAAAGTTCCATCTAGTAGACTGATAGGTGTAATTGAAGTGACTGATTTTAGATTAACAAACACAGAGAGATTGTGACACATGTGACCTGTGGCTCCACTATCAAAGAAACTATAATCATCATTGAGTTCAACACATTGATCGAGAGTTGAATAAGTAATGCTACCTGCAAAATCAGTGATATGGGCAAAATTGACCTGGTTGTACTCTTGATTAAGTGGTTGCTTCCCTTTGCTGTACTTGTTGAATTCCTGCTGCAAGAAGTTCAGCTGCTGAGCCATTGCATTCCAGTTAAGACCACCAGGCTGAGAAGCAGGCACAGGATTCCAGTTATTGCTCACATTGTCAACCATCTCCAAGGGTGTATCCTTTTCTGCCAAATTAGCAAAATTTCTTTGTATATTGTTCTGTCCCACAATAGTTCTTCTGTCTTTCATGGAATCAGGGAAACCAATTATCTGAAAACAATTTTCCTTCTCATGTCCAGGCCTAAGACAATGAGTACACCACTTCTCACTGTAAGACTTCTTCTTTGAATTCTTGTTACCTTGTCCATTCCTTTTCCCTGGAATATTTTGGTTTTTGCTATACATGGCTAAATTCTCAACCTGACTTCCTAAACCACCCTAAACACCAACATTATTTAAAGAATCAAAACCCCCACTAAAACTCTGTAGATTGATCTAAACATTTCCCTGAGCAATGAAGGCAGTTGTTTCATTCATTTGAGCATGTGCAATACCAGGTATCTTCTTACTTGCCTTTAGTAGCATGTTTAAGGCTTTACTCACTGTTGGAGATGGCTCAAGCAGCAAGATCCGATCCTTCATTGACTCATAACTGCTATTAAAACCCATAAGGAAGTCAATTAACTTGTCTTCCTCATCCCTAGCCTTTAAAACCTTAACAGCAGCCGGAGAACAACCCTCTGAAATAGACCTATAGTGAGAAAACTCTTCCCAAACTCTCTTCACCATACTATGATCTTTGACCAAGGAATTATCCCCTTGCACGATTCCTAAACGATTCTTCCTGAGTTCATACAACAAATTGTTGTTTGGTGTCCTGTACTCCTCTGCCAATTGATCCTAGAGTTCTTGAGTAGTCATCTCATACATATAACCAGCCGCTATATCTGGACTCATTGCAGCAATTCACCATGACTTTACAGTGGAATCAACTCGTTTCCATCTTACATACTGAGGAGAACCAACCAGAGGACTTGGACAGGTACCATCAATAAATCCAACTTTCATTTTGGATTCCAATACTGTACGCATTGACCGACTCCAAACCAGGAAATTACCAACAGTTAAAGGAGCAGTAACAAGAACCATACCGGGATGATAAGAACTGTGAAGATTCAAGGTCTCTTTATAGTTTCTCTACTCTTCCGTAAGTTGATCACCAGACGAACCTTCGCGCGCCATGAGTAATCAACCAGAAAACACAAAATTGAACCGACAAGAACTAAGATCTTAGCTAGCGGAAGCTTTCTACGGTTCCGATTTGGAATAAAAAACCTGAGGCTCTAGATACCATGAAGAATTGATGAGCTAGGGTTTGTAAACCAAGAACACATACTAAAGGTGTGATTTAACGCAGCAATTGGGAAAATAGAAGCTCTTGATTTGAGCTGTACTTCTGATCATATATATATATATATATATATATATATATATATATAGATATAATTCCATGGAGAGTAAGCTGCCACCTCAGCTTTAGTTCTATACGAACTAAAGAAGTCAACTACTCCTATATATGTACAAATATTACAGCTGTACATTCAATCAACTGAAATCTAAAATGGTATGCATCACGTGTTCATCTGTATCAACAACAACCAGCTCGTTCATGTTGTGGTCCTGCTTGTCGACGTGTCCATCAAGGTCTTCAAGGTCGACAGTTTGGAAAGCTGACTTGATTTCCTTGAATATGTCGTTGGAAGAAAGGATAATTTTAACTGGACAAACCAAGATACAATCTTAGCCTGTAGTGATGGTGACAACGGATCACTGAATCGTGTGTGGATGCCTCTACTTAAATTGCCCTGCAATGATTCCTGCCTGAACCTATGCGGATCCTGCCATGGAATTCTTTGCTTTGTGAATATATTTCGCTTAGTGATTTGTTTGTGTAATCCCGTTACTCACGAATGTTTCAAGCTTCCGAATTCAAGGACCCAAACCTCGGCTCTTGTTAGAGGTTTTCATCTGGTTGAGTTGGGATTTGGTTATGATCCATCTACTAAGGATTACAAGATCATCACGATTTTGGAGGCTGGGGATAGTGCCAGGTACGACAGGGTTGAAGTTGATAATTCCATACTTGTAGTAGAAGTTTACAAGCTCAGTACCAAGTGCTGGAGTAGGGTTGAGCACAATGGTGAGTTAGAATTTCTGCATTCGGTTAAGAGTGTTGGTTCTGGAGTAGTTTTCAACGGAATCCTTTACTGGTGGATGGAAAGTCGCGCTGAGCCTAATGATAAGCGAGTTTGTCACGCCATTGTCACGTTTGATTTCCATTCTGAAAGATTTGGAAGAATGGAATGTCTGCAGAATCTAAGCAGCAAGGACTCGATACTTACAGTCATTGGAGGCGGTTCGCTTGCATTTGTTAGAAGAAACTCGAACATGGAAAGTGGCGACACGTTTGACGTGTGGGTGGTGTATGACACCAACCATCAGGAGGAGGATCAGGAGTCTTCTTGTTGGACAAAGAAATGCAGCGTCGCGCCTTCTTCTGTCGGACCTTATTTGCGACAGCTGACTTGTTGGAATCATGACGAGCTTCTCCTAGTTAATCTTGGTCCAAATGTGGTTAATCACGTTATCTACGACGATGATGAAGATTATATACAAGAACAAGTTCAAGAGTTGGCCTCTTGCAGGCTCTTGCAGGAGGATGGTTCTTCTTTAGAAGAACAACATTATAAGGCGGTTGACATTGGTCGCGACCTTGTCAAATCTAGTATCTTTGCAAGAGCTCTCAGGTTTTACCCAAGTTTGGTTCCTATCAGCGCAAGAGGAAATTAAGCTTAGGAATCCTTTGTTACACTTTTTGTGTTCACTTTTGGTAACTGTACATGGTACGTAGTGAAAGTTTTTGATAAAACCACCTGTGGTGATTTTGATTCTCTCTGAATTAATTTATCATGTCAATGGAATTCATACTTTCTATAAATCTTACGTGCATGCAAGTGCTAGTGTTTCTAGCTAGTTTTGCTGGTAATGTGGTATTAATGTTTGTCAAATTCTCAAGTTGGGATATCGTATGATGACTTCGGACGGTTCCATAAAAATAATTCACTTTGTTGTATTATTTTTAGTTCAACAAATGAACATTCTTTTTTGAACATCACGCATCAAAATGGCTGGAGAAAAAGCTGGAAAAATGCTGTGCAGGAGTATGTAAAAGCTGCATCTTCTTCTACTTGTTTCTTCAGCTCCGTGATTATTACTAAATAAGCAATACTTAAAATACAAATTGTACAAACTTTGTAATTTATGGATCCAATCCAACTATGTTGATTTCCCTAATAACGAGAATCCTATTTCTATCACAACTTTTCATCGACAGTAATTTGATTCCAGTTAAAATACCGTATGCAGATCTTTTTACCTACGTCTTAGGGGAAGGGAGGAAAAAAAAAAGAAACTTAATTCCATCTTTACAAAAGAGGTTTATGCTCGAGAAAAAGAAGTAAAATTCTGCGTACCTATGATTGTCAAGAGAAAATCAAAGTTTTCAAGAACCAAATGAAAAGGTTAGCGCGATTTGTTGTTTGCTTTTTCTTTCAATAATGAACACGGTTGGTTTCGATTTTTGTTAAACTCAGTTCGGTATTTTTTTTTTTAACTGTTTGATCAAAATTCTTGTTATGTGTTCTGCATTCCGGACCCTCTTTTATGCCGCTCCGTCATATATATATAGAAGTATAAAAATATGGAGTAATAAAAACGTAATCTTGTTGTAACAAATTTGTCTCAATAATTATTGTGTCAAAAATTTACACCCACACAATTTTCAGATTGTTTGTTTTATTGATATACTACAGATTTGTTTTGGCCTAAAAGATGGAGATGCATTCGTTGCCGGAAGAAGCTCTAACTGAGATTCTGGTGAAGTTGCCGATTAGGTCAGTGTTAAGGTGTATTAGCGTTTGTAAGACATGGAAGGCTTTGATCAGGAACCCTTATTTTGCTGACTACCATCTCAAAAACCACCAAGACAACAAAGATGATATGGTATTAATCAGACAACTCAAGTATGAGAATCTTCGGTGCATAAGCCAAGATTTGTTCTTGACCCGTGATGATCATCACAAGAAACTGCATCTTTTGTTTCCCCGACTCGAATTGCCTAATCCTGATCAGGTAGTATACGCCAGAGGATCCTGCAATGGAATCCTTTGCTTTTCGGACATACATTGCAGATTCGTTTATCTGTGTAATCCCATCACTCGCGAATGTTTCACACTTCCTGAATCAACTTTGGCTGATCCGGGTTGTCCCTTAGTTGAATTGGGATTTGGTTTTGATCCTTATACTAAGGATTATAAGGTCATTGCGATTTTAGAGAGGAATCCAGGGCCAGTTTGGATACAAATTTACAAGCTCAGTACTAATTGCTGGAGTAGGGTGGACATTGATGAGTTGGAAAATGGTGTTTTTTCCATCAATGGTGCTGGTTCTGGAGTATTCTTCAAGGGTATTCTTCACTGGTGGATGGGAAGCCGCTTAAGACTTAATGATCATGTCCTCACCTTTGATTTACATGCTGAAAGATTTGGAAGTATAGAATGTCCAAACTTGTTCGACAACCCTAATTCGATATTAACTGTCTTGGGTGGCGATTCGCTAGCACTTGTTTCGATGGTAAAAAGGGCACATGATGGATATGCATTTCGTGTGTGGGTAATGAAGGAATATGGAAACCATGAGTCTTGGACACATAAATATACCATTGCGCAATTTCTAGCAGATTATTGCAGACCATTTTGGCATGAGCCTTCAGGAGAGTACCACATACCATCTTGGCGTCATTTGACTTGTTGGAATGGTGACGAGCTTTTACTAGTTAATCTGGAAGACCAGGAACAGATGGTCTCTTACAAACTCTTCCAGAAGAATGATTTTACTACTACACAAGAACAATGTAAGGAGGTTGACATTGGTCGCGACCTTCTCAAATCTCACATCAACCCGAGAGTCATCAAATTTCAACCGAGTTTGGAATCTATCAGCAGAAGAAGAAATTATTTTCTTTGACGTATAGGCACGTAATCTTCTGAGACACTTCTTATAACACTACTACATGGAACGGAAGTTTGATAAATCACCTGTGGTGACCTTTTAATCCTCTTTGAATTAGTTTTTGATTGCAAACAAATTTGAAGTTTACAAATCATGCGAGCTAGGCAGCTAGCTAAGCTTATTCTCTTTTTTTCCATCCATGCAGTCAGAAGGAATGCAATTTGAAAAGTATTTTACAAAATTTTACCTTTGTTTAACTTAGAAGGAAAAATTGGCCAAAAGAGAGAAGTTGTGCAAGTCAAAACCAATTAGAAGCTATCAAAACTGCAAAACCAGACATATATGCAACATGCCAACACCAACTTCATCTGATGATGATACTTCTGTGCAAACCAAGTATATATCAGGACGACTTTTTCCTTTGCAAAAGTGGTTAACTGGCCATAGTGAACAATAACAATAATAATACGGTTTACCGTCCAAACCAAGATATCTTATTAACCCGTGATCAGAAGGAGAGATGACGGCTTCATCTATGGCGCGGAGGCTCATGCAACAGGATTTTTTTTTTTTGCTTTTCAGATTTAGATTTAGGGGGGTATTTTATTTGTGTAGTCCCATCACTCGCGAATATGTTAAACTTCCTACCTTGTCTACATTGAATTGTGTTACGTAAATGAACTTGGATTTGGTTTTAATCCGTGTACTAGGGATCACAAGGTGAGCAACGATTTTTCCGGCCAGGTTAGGGCCAGCTTGGACAAACACTTTCAAGCTCGGTACAAATTTTTGGAGTAGGGATTGAGCACAAGAACCGTGATATAAGAGTTGGAACGCATTTGTTCCATCATTGATGCTGGTTCTGGAGTATATATTCTTCAATGGCATACTTCGCGGGTGAATGGAACCCGTCTGCTGTTATGAGCTTGATGCAACAAAATGAGGCTTGTCGCATAGTGATATTTTTTCATCCATACAATCAGAAGGAAAGCAATTTGATAAATATTTGTACAAATTCGACCTTTTAACTTCAAAGAGAGAACTTTGAGCAAAAGAGAGAAGTATTTTTCCAACCAATCCAAAACTGCAAAGCCAGCTGCAACACCGCCTTCATTTGATGATGATACTTTTGTGCGCATCAAGTATCCCGGACTGTTATTTATGATGATATTTTTCCTTGTTCCTTTGTGTGAAACATATACCAGGAAGCGGCAATATCATCATCTGCTGGCAATACCCAATCTGACCATCTACCAGTATACAAACGCCTTAAATTTTCCATTTTCCTCAAAGTATCTGGCAGCATAACACTGTAGCCGGGGCATCCACAACACTAAGTATCTCCAAAGATGAGAGATTGACGATTAACGGCGTGAGCATAAATAGTTCTGCACCAATTCCCAATCTCAAGTATTTCAAGTGAGCAAGTTGTAGAACTACTCTCGGAAAGATGTCGAAGAAACCCATGCCCCAGCAGTCCAAAACTCTTACAAGTTTGGACCGACAAAACTTGTACAAAATACCCCTCCGATGTCGTTCATCCCACGAGGAGTTATCATTGTTATTAGGAATGAACAAAGTGCGTAGATAAGGAAAAACCTGCTTTGGCTCTGCAACATCCTCCTCTCTGCTAGAGTCTATAAACAACCGATAAGACATGTTAGGCTCTGCGGAAGTACCAAGCTCACTCCCGTGTAATCGCTGCAGAAAGTGATCTCCAATGCTCTTTTCCTTGTAAAACTCGTGTAACAAGTCGTGAAGCATGCAGAATTTGATCTTCCCTCTAGATCCTCTCTCAGCAACCATCACCAAATTTCTCTGTACTAACTCTGTCAAGTAAGCCTCCGCTACATCCTCTACACATCCTCCCGCAGTCCTTTCCACAAATCCCTCCGCAATCCATCGCTCTAACAATTCCCGAACACGTATCCTTTGGTCCTCTTTATATGCTCCAAAGTAGAGAGAACATGGTTTCAAGTAGTCCGGTAAATGACGATAGCTCAACTCTATAGTCTCTTTCCACTGATCTAGAGCCGGTGTGCAGCTTTTGTTTAAGCTTTCTTCAACTTCTTCCCACCCACTTGTCTCCATGTTTGAGTGGAGGCCAGCAACAGTTACGATCGTCAACGGCAAACCTTTACAACGTTGTGCAATTGCCTGGCCACGTGCAACAAGCTCAGGAGGACAACCTTCTTCAAAACTTATCCTCATTTGTAACAGTTTCCAACTCTCCTCATCCGTGAGTGAACGAAGATGATGGAGGGTTTGACTTTGCGGAATGATTTGTGAAGCCACATTCTCGTTTCGACTGGTTACAAGAATTCTACTTCCACTTTTATCATCAGGAAATGACAATTTTAGACTATCCCAAGCTTCCATATCCCAAACATCATCCAAAACTATGAGATATGGCTTACCCTTCAAATGTCTACGAATTGCATCAGCCATATCATCTTCACTTCTATTTAAATGCTTGTTAGAAACATCGTTCTCAAGACCGCTTAAAATCTCAAGTAATAACCCTGTTTTGTCGTAATCTTGAGAAACGGTGCACCATACACGAACACAAAAGTGATGGACGATGGAGGGATGACGATAGACCATGTTTACCTAAAGTTGTTTTGCCTAACCCAGGCATACCAACAATAGAAACAACCCCCAACTGTTTTGTCCCTCTTATGAGGGAATCAGTTCTCTTCCCTGCCTCATCATCCAACTCCACCACAGTCTCATTGAATTCTGGAATCTTGCTCGCTGATGATATGTGTTTATGAGGTTTAGCAATATTTTGGACTTTGGTGATCTGCCCCAGGCTGACGGAAAATTCTGATGCCCGCGTCCTAATAATTTTCATATGCTCTACGATGGTATTAAGCCTCCAACCACAAGAGAATCAATGACAAACTCTGTTTCATAGGCAACCATGGCAACAAGGCTCTAGAGAGCTTGGACCTTCTCATTCGGATCACGTTGCTCCATAGAATCGAAGAGAAAAAATCTTAGAAATGCCAGAACGTCCCAGATTGTGACAAACTTATTCTTCTCTGAAGCAACCACTGAATCAGGACAGAATCAATAAACCCCAACAAGTTGGTCTGAGGAAAGCAGGATGCTGCTGGATTGAGTAGATATCTTGGTGCCTCTTCTTCTGTCTCCTTCTGGAAAAGCTTGATTTTCTTCTCAACCTCAAAAAACAGATCCTGCAGCCGTTCAATCACGTGGCTGCTGTCATCTATTTTGACAAATAGATAGCAAACTATGAGCCCTTTTGACAGCCCTGTCTCACAAAGAAAGACTCCAATAATGTTTTGCACTTTCTCATCATCATATAATAACTCCTCATCAAACTTATCATGATGGTGCTCTCTCAAAGTGGTTCTCAAGAATCGGAGTCCTTCGTAGAGTGTATGGATTTGATGGTCAAACATGTTCATGTAACAAGTACCACGAAGCAGAACCTCTAAAAGAAGAAAGATGAGAGAATTAACCATTTCAAACACAACTGTGGCACTTCCTGATGAGGTGCCAGGCCGTAATTTTGAGGCTTCCTCGAGGATTTAAACATACATTCCAAAAACATGGTACTCAACGGGTTTTGATCTTTCCATGAGTTGTTCAACTTCATCTTCTCCAGGAACACAAGCAGACTTCAAACACAAGCCCTGAGCGTGAATCAACATGATTAATCTCAAGCCCTGAGCGTGAATCAACATGTCTTCCATCTGACTAATCTCAAGTCCTCGGAATATGGCAAAGCGAATCAAGTTCTTCAAGAATTCTAAGCTTTTCAGTAGGCTTTTAGTCAAGTGATAGTAAGGTAGGTATCCCAAACTGTGAATAATGGAGTCCAGGAGTTCCCAAATTTCTTCTACGCAAGAAGAAGAAGAAGAAGAAGAAGAAGACTTTCTCTGCATCATCAATTGTTCTTCCATATCTGGCAAAAAAAACTGCTGACTCCATCATCACCCTAAAACAACTGATAACCCCACAGAAGAGATGCGATTGTTCCGCCTCGAAGGTCAGTAGATCAACATTAGCGTTCCTCAGTGTGAGAAAAAGAATATGAATTTGCAATGATTCTCTGTAAGCATTCTCCTCCAAATTACGCAACCCAGATTCGAATCCAACACCATTTTCAGCCCTTTTCCTTCCAAACCCATAAATTGTTTTCATTAGTCTCAACTGGCACCCCAGCTGCTGCTCGAAGCCAAGATAATACCCAGAGCATCCCAGACCGATTGAATCAAGATCATCCAATGCACTTCCAATACAGCTCTCCATGAATTTTACTATAAAAGTTGGGCAATTCTATATGCTGCTTGGAAATGGAAAACCTGTTAAAATTCAGTCTAAAAATTTTGTTTACTTCGTCATCTTTTTTATAACTTCTAACTAGCAAATCTCCAATTTAGTCCATAATATTTCTCCTCTGGGTTTGTCAACAAACCAAATCAAGCTGGAACAATGAAAAATTTCGCTCTCAACTTCATTACAAACAAAATCGAATGCCATCCAATATGTAAACTGGAATTTTTAGCTAGCCCCATAATAATGCTGCTACACTTAGCGTAATCTAGCTAAAGCCCACACATATGTAGATTTCCAGTCAACAAAATTAGAGAAGCTTTGACACAAAACACTGTCAAAAAAAAAAAACAAAACAAAACACAACAAAAAGAATACGTAACCTACATATCTTCAATTCCAAATATACGATAACATGAATTGAACATAGGTTTGGAAAGACAATAAACATAATTATAATTACCTCTTGTTGATGAAGGATTTGCTTATAGTTCACCAAAAACGAAAGGAAACTTTGCTGAGGCGATCTACAAGCCTCTGCAGCACTTCCCCAGACCCAAATTTCTGATAATCAGCAAAGCTTTCCTTTCCTTTCTTTTCTTTTCTTTTCTTTATAAGTGAAAAAAAAAAAAAAAAGGAGTAACAAGTGAGAGTGACTGAGTGAGTGAAGAGAGGAAGTATGAGCTCAGGGAAATAAGAGAAAGATTGAGTATACATTTACTATATGTTAAACTCGTCCGTTGGACGGGGCAACCATACTCAAATAGAAATAATAAAACAAAAAAATACCTAAAAAATACAAATTGAAAAATGATACAAAATGTTGGACAATTTTTTTAGTGTGTGTTTGTAGATTTTTTTTTTTCTATTGGGAATATAAAAATGTGTATTGAAAATATAAAAAATTATGCTGGGATGAGACAATTATTATTAAATTATTTTTAAAAAAATCATACATACACGTAAAAAAGTGCATGTAAAAATCAAACAAAATAAAATGAAGATGATACCAACCAACACCATGTCCATCTTCTATAAATCAGTCCCTTATTCCAGGGTAATTTTAGAATATAAAATAGGGATAAATATACAGAATACACTGTAGTAACCGATTTATTAACTAATAAAGTCTATAAACATTATGTGATTAAAATATTTTGATGGTTTGAAGTGAATTCTTTTTTTAGAAGCTTTATGTTAGGTTGGTCTACCACAAATTTTTTTTTTATAAATGTGCTATTGTAATTATGCTTTTGCTCCGTCCTCCTCCCTCTATATAATTTCCAAATTTGTTTGCCTTTTTTATGACAAATGATCAATCACAATTAACTCATATGTTTAAATAATTAAACTAATAAAATTAAAGAATTACGGATGGTAATTTACATTTTCAAATTATTATAATTAAATTATTTTCTCATATATTCATTTATTCTAAATATTTTGTACTCCCTGATCAATATTCCATTTGCTTCAGTTTCACCCGTTTTCAAAGGTTTTTAATTTAGAGTTGAGTGTTATATATATCAAAATTTTTCCACTCTTAAAAATATCACTCAATTGTGTTTTTTTCAATTTAGTTTTTCTCACATAAATTCAAGTAATTCTCAGCATATTGTATTTTAGTTATTTTTATATGTCCATTTACTTATTTTGATTGTTTTCAATTTTCTACTTATAGTTATGTATTTTGCAAAAACATAAAACCTAATTTCTCCTTAGTGATGGCACGAGATTCTCTGAGCCACTTTCCTATTACACTCTATATTACACAAGTCAATAATCTGACATAAATTTTATTGTTTGTTTTAGAATTTACACCATTCATTATCACTTTCGATGTTATATATTTGGGACTAAGGGTTCACTTATTTTATTTTAATTCTCATTGTAAAAAGTTCTATAAAAATGATTAAATTTCATTAAAAATATAACATTGATAAAAAAAAAAAAAGCCATATGAAAATTATCTTCAATGAATGTGTTTGTTTATGGTATTTATATGTATTAGTACAAAATATATGCTCAATAAGAAATAATTAGATTATGTAACAAAGAGTGTCACAGAAAAATAACACAAAGGATCCAGTTCATTGGTGACACTATTCAACTATTTTTTTCACCATATATTCCATCTCAAGTTATTTAAAATGATTTCCAACTTATTATATTTTAATTTTTTTACCCATTTATTTATTTATTTATTATATATCTTATTTTTCAGAAAATTCCAATTTAGAACCTATTAATGCTAGATGTATCTTTTTTTTCCTCTTTTAATAATACCATTCGACCGTGGATTTTCTGCATTTAGTATTTCTCACATAATTTAAATTGATTCTCAATGAATTTCGGTTTAGTTATTTTACCATTTTATTCAAATATTTCAATTAATGTTTTGTCATTTAGAATAAATTAGTTTTGCAAAAATATCACCTTTTTTCTCATGATACCATTCAACTATTTTTTTAACATTTGTTCTTTCTCAAGTTAGTTAAAGGGATTCTTTACTTATTATAGTTTAGCTATTTTACACATTTATTTATTTATTTTGACTTCACCTATTTTTTAAAATTTTTTAATTGGATAGATGTAAAATTTTTGCATCAATTAATAATATCACTCAACTATGTTTTCTTTATGTAGGTGTGTTTCATTTTTTTACCCATTTATTCGTTTATTTTAGTTTCACTCATTTAAAGAAATTTTCTATTTAAGAACTTAACGTTAAATTTATTTTGTTTTCCTTTCTTAATAATATCATTTAACTATTTATTTTATTCTCCCTTTAGTCTTTCTTACATCATTTCAAATTAATTATCAACACATAGTGTTTTAGCTATCTACACATTTTGTGTTTGTTTTAGTTATTAGTCATTCTCCATTTGTGATTATTTATTTTGCTTAAATTTACCCTTTTTTTTAAAAAAAAAAAATATATATATATATATATATAAAATCTATAGTTGTGAGAGTATTTATTTTTTTCATTTAATTGTATCTTTCGACTCTCTCCCTCTCCCATCTTCAAATTATTAGAAATACATCTTCAAGTTATTGTTTATAGTAGCCAAGTTACTGAGATATTCCTACACAAGTTAGCTAAATCACTATTGTCGTTGACATATAGATGTTTATGCATAAGCTTGGGCATATCACCAACATACTAAAACTACATGTAAGATTTTTTTTAAAAAAAAAATTAATAAAAATTGGATGGCCCCAGCGAGAATCAAACCTTCGACCTCCTGATAATAACCATCCCCCATCCTAATCCCCTAACCATCCCACCCAACCCTCCCACCCAAAACTACATATAAGATTACAAAATACTTTCCATAAGAAAAGAGTTTTTAGTAACCTCTAAAATTGATTTTAAGTGATTTGTTCTTTTTCCCTTTGCTTATGAGTTTTTAGTGCTTTAGCTAGTTTGCTAATGAGTTCAAGTTGTTTTGCGTTCTCCATGTAACTATTTCTTTTGTCTCAAATCTATACTTTCATAATTTTTTTTTATTTAAAATGTAATGTGGGAGTATATCTTTTACCTTAGTAATATCATCCAACCTTTTTTTTCCTCTTTTAATTTTTCTTACATTATTTTTATTGATTATCGATTTCGTTGTAAAAGATTAATTCTCAAATCATTAATTTTGCTCAATTTATTTGTTATTTTTAGTTTTTGCACTCTTCATTTATTCACTCCTTTTGATTTAACTCTATCTAATTGACAAGCAGTCGTCATACTAGTCAAATAATTAATTACCTGCTTAATACAATTACTAGCAGTAAAACAGAAAGCAGGGTCGATCCCACAGAGAAAGTTACCAAGTACCGGTTAAAATTATTTCTTATTATTATTTTGATTAACAATTTATCAATTTAAACTAATCTAAACCTAAGACTAACAATTACAATTAATTTAAAATTTTACACAAATAAAAGAAAACATAGGGCAAAGAGTTCACCTACCGACTACTCAGTTTAAGTCAACTTATAGATATGTGACTTTGGACTTTCATTAATCTCACAACGATTCACCTATTTAAAAACTATACACTGTCGTGATATAATTCTCTTACTCAAACTAACCATATGACTACTGTCCTGGCTATAGGGATTAATAAAAGCACATTAAGAACTTTAGAATCTCTAGCTGCAAAGGCGGTGTTCCTACTGTCGTGGCTCACTATCTAAGTTTAATATTCCCATGAACTAATGTTAACCTTCAACCATCGTTCCTTCAGTTAAACACTTTTAAAGCATGCAAGTGGTGATCAAATACTCACATGGAATAAAAACAAGAATATTAAATATCAACTAATGAAAAAGTCACAATCATGAATTAAATTAAATTAAATAGTACGGCGGCTATATCCAAAATCCTAGATTAAATAATTTAGCTACACATCATCTCAAAAATAAATAAAACAATGAAATCCGGGAAAAGTCGGCCAAAAGTTGAGTCCGGAAATTGATCCAATGCTTCCTCCTCCCTCTTGGCGATGATGGCGCATGAAGACAGGTTGCGTAGAATTTGTAGTTGGAGGAAGGTTTTTGGGTTTTGATGGATTAAAGGTGGGTTGCGTGGAGTTGTGTGTTGTAAGGTTGTGTGTGGCGTGCGTTTGTTGGGTGTAGGGGCTGGTGATAGGGAGGTGTGATGGTGATGGAGGTTGGCGGAGTTGGGGGGCTGCGGCAGTGAAGGGTTTTGGGCGTTGATGATAATAATGAAGTTGATGGTAATGGTGATGCGTGGAGGGTGAGGGAAGCAAGGAGGAGAAGCTGGTGTTCGGTGAAGATGGTGATTGCGTGGAGGAGAAGAAGAGGTGGAGCGGCGGTGATGAAGGTGGCTGCCACCGGTGGAGGAAGGGGGGTCGGGGTTTCGGTGAAGTTCGGTTCAGTCCGGTTGTAAAAATAAATCCCTAATTCCCCTTTTATAGGCTTCCGTCAAAACCCTACTTCTTAGAGAGGAAGAAAAC